TCACTCTCACTGTGACATACCCATCACTGTCACAATCTTATGTAACACACAAACATGCACGCACGCACGCACGCACGCACACACACTATTTCCTTTCTCATCACCCTTTCATCTCTACCATTTAACTGTTATGAGTTAAAGTGGAGGTTGGGTCCTTTCATCTCTACCATTTAACTGTTATGAGTTAAAGTGGAGGTTGGGTCCTTTCATCTCTACCATTTAACTGTTATGAGTTAAAGTGGAGGTTGGGTCCTTTCATCTCTGTCATTTAACTGTTATGAGTTAAAGTGAAGGTTGGGTCCTTTCATCTCTGTCATTTAACTGTTATGAGTTATAGTTCCCTGTAGCTCAGTTGGTAGAGCATGGCGCTTGCAACACCAGGGTTGTGGGTTCGTTTCCCACGGGGGGCCAGAATGAAAATGTATGCACTCACTAACTGTAAGTCGCTCTGGATAAGAGCGTCTGCTAAATGACTAAAATGTAAAATGAGTTAAAGTGGAGGTTGTATCATTTTCATCTCTGCCATTTAACTGTGGAAGTTGGTTCGTTTTCATTTCCTAAAGGTTAATTCTCGCCAACTGATTAGGGTCATTATAAGGAAGATTGGCTAGTTTTTTCTTCTGGGTTACCTCCCAAATGGCACCCTATTCACTGTGCACTAATGTAGACCAGAGCCATGTGGACCCTAGTCAAAAGTAGTTGCCTGGCTACCCCATCTACCACGCCCACGGACGTTAGTTTCTTCTCTGAAATGAGTCTGGATCTGAGTACCTCCACGATGATTTCTAGAACGGGGAAAAACATTCTATCCGTTCTGATTGGTCCCAGAAACCAATGGGTTGGGGCAAGAGCCAGAACACACGCGTCATTGGCTTTGCTACTCTGATTGGTTAGAAATTATCCAATCGCCTGATTAGCCTACTTTTTTTTTTGTACAACACCCCTCATTTTGACATCACCACAAACGACTTCAGTCTGAAGTGTGTAGCGGACCGATAGAGCAGCGGAAGAATCATTGTGACGTCACCACAAACGACTTCAGTGACGGCCGTCTCCGACTGAAGTGTGCAGCGGACATATAGACAGATAGATTTTGAATCGTCAGGCAACAAAAGTAGTCCATTAAATAGGGAATAGAGTGTCATTTGGGATGCAGCCCCTGCAGTTATAATGAATGAATGGTTGAATGCGAGCGGAGATAGTGGTGTTTTAGTGCCACCTTCTGGACAAAGTGAATACTGCATCGAATTATTTTCTACTGAGTTGGAGGCATTCGACATTACAGAAATGCTTTTACTCTTGGAGACAACTGGCAAGAGTTCAAATAGATTCCCTGACTGAAAGAGTTAGAAATAAGGTCAAATTCAATAACTTTTTCAGCTTTGGTTTTGCAGAGTGTTGTCAACTTACTCAGACATTAAAATAGTTCATGAATAGAAGCTCTCGTGTGAAGTCTTGTTGTGTGTGTGTGTGTATTGTTGTTATGGTCTCCTGTTGGATGTCAGACAGGAAGCTCCTAACTACCCAGAGTTCATCAGTCATCTCCATTGTTTCCTCTGACTCAATAAAGAATATAATGATGAATAGAGATCACCCATTCACTCAGACAACAACCCATTGATGCATCTCTCTCTCTCTGACTCTCTCGTCTCGGATCTCGCGGTAGACTCATAGCTCTCTGACTCGGTAAGGGTCTCTAGTGTCGTCTCTCTCTCTCTCTGCTTCTCTTCTCTACTCTCTCTCTCTCTCTCTCTTATATATATCATCTCTCTAGTATATAGATCATAACAGGAAGTGGTGTAAAAGGGGACTGTTGTTCTGACATGGTGGATTTCCTGTATGGTTCTCAGAGTTCAAAAGCAGCCAGAGGAAAGGACACACCTGCTGTGTGTGTGTGTGTATGTGTGTGTATATGTGTGTTTATGTGTGTGTCTGTGTGTGTGTGGATGTGTTTAACTATACTTGTGAGGACCAGAAGTCCCCACAAGAATAGTAAACAAACAAAAATTTGACCAACAGGGGACACTTTGTTAGTCCCCACAAGGTCAAATGCTATTTCTAGGGGGTTTATTGTTAAGGTTAGAATTAGTGTTAGGGTTAGAATTAGGTTTAGGGTTAGGAGCTAGGGTTAGTTTTAGGGTTAGGGTTAAGGTTAGGGTTAGGGTTAAGGTTAGGGTAAGGGTATGGATTAGAATTAGGTTTAGGGTTAGGGGTTAGGGAAAATAGGATTTTGAATGGGACTGAACTGTGTGTCCCCCCCAACAAGGGTTAGTGTGTATGTGTTTGGTGGGGTTGTGTGGTTTGTGTGTGGTGATGTGTGTTGTGTGTGTGTGTGTGTGTTTCCAGTGAACATTAGACTGTTCAGCAGTTGAACGGGTTTAATGATTGAACAGGTAAACTGTTGGTCCTCGCGAACACACCGGCCGGCATAACAATGAACCAATACAGCCAAAGTAAACACTGATCTGGGACCAGGATAAATGGTGCTTGGAGACTAGTCAAGGACACGGTGGAGGATAGAGTTCAACTCTATCAGTCAAGGGTTAAAGGGAGTTGTCCTGTTTGTCTGTTAGTTTTCATGGAGTTGGGTTGAGTGTCTTTATGTCTGTCTGTCTGTCCGCACCTGTCCAACTGTCCATCTGTCTGTAACTTCTCATCATCTTGTTTTAGTCTGTTTAACTCTGGCTGAACCAAAACACACTTCACATGAGTTACACAGACTGGCTGAACCAAAACACACTTCACATGAGTTAAACAGACTGGCTGAACCAAAACAGACTTCACATGAGTTAAACAGACTGGCTGAACCAAAACACACTTCACATGAGTTAAACAGACTGGCTGAACCAAAACACACTTCACATGAGTTAAACAGACTGGCTGAACCAAAACACACTTCACATGAGTTAAACAGACTGGCTGAACCAAAACACACTTCACATGAGTTAAACAGACTGGCTGAACCAAAACACACTTCACATGAGTTAAACAGACTGGCTGAACCAAAACACACTTCACATGAGTTAAACAGACTGGCCTGAACCAAAACACACTTCACATGTCTGTTTAACTCATGTGAAGTCTGGCCGTCTGAAAAAGAAAAATTCATGTTCTCCAATTCACACCTCGTCGTCACTTCCTCCGACGTCTAAAATGTCTGGTCTTACAATCTCTCTCTCTCTGTGTTTGTGTGTGCACATGCCTGTGTGTGTGTGTGTGTGTGTGTGTGTGTGTGTGTGTGTGTCCATGCCTGTCTGTGTGTGTCCATGCCTGTGTGTGTGTGTGTCCATGCCTGTCTGCCTGTGTGTGTGTGTGGTGTGTGTGTGTGTGTGTGTGTGTGTGTCCATGCCTGTCTGTGTGTGTCCATGCCTGTGTGTGTGTGTACGCGCCTCTACATAATTCATATATTATGTAATACCTCCTAAATTAGGTTAGCGCATATTTAATCATTTATGTGCTCTCTTCTTCTACTGCCCATAATTAATAATTTATAGTTTTGAAAATGCTAATGTCCTCTCTGATCTAGGCGGACATCTGAAAGTTTGAGTGATTTGAAGCTCTGTGTTTTGAAGTTCTGCCTGACTATCTAGTACATGTTGGTTAATTTGTTGTTGATGATGCTTTTGTTAATGATCAGGAAGTGTGGAGGGGGGGTCATTGAAAAGTGTGTGTGTGTACTAATTCCATTTACAGTGACCTGTCAGCAGTGACAGGTTGATGATTGACAGGTAACTGTGTCCTCTGCGTACACACCGGCCAGCATAACAATGAACCAATACAGCCAAAGTAAACACTGATCTGGGACCAGGATAAATGGTGCTTGGAGACTAGTCAAGGACACGGTGGAGGTTATCTATTACATTTACATTTTTACATTTTAGTCATTTAGCAGACGCTCTTATCCAGAGTGACTTACAGTTAGTGAGTGCATACATTATTTTTTTAAATTCATTTTTTCATACTGGCCCCCCGTGGGAATCGAACCCACAACCCTGGCGTTGCAAACGCCATGCTCTACCAACTGACATTCCCTCCCCTACCCTGGACGACGCTGGGCCAATTGTGCGCCGCCCCATCTATCAGATGACATGTTGTTGACACTTCTTATACTGGCAGATCTATACAAGTGCATAGGGGCTAGGGGATAAGGTTAGGGGAGATTGGGATTTGGGACATAAAAAGGAGAAAAATGAATAATACTTGTACCATTTTCTCTGAATAAAAATATTATAAGGAGATCAGGTCAGCTGCAGTTTTGTAAACATTCGCTAGGTGACACTAAATCCCCATTAAATTATCTGCGTTCCACGCAAGCGCACAATGACGTTATTGATGCTGAGAAGGATTTGTAATCGATCGTCAAAAAAACTAAAGTCGATCAACAAAATGTCGGATAAACAAAGTGCTCAAAAAAGGTATTACGAATCCAAATTGAATGTATTTTTAGAACTGTGTTATGTATCAAAGATCACATTGTTACTGTTTGATGATAGTTTGAATGTGTTAAACAAGTTGAATATGTTTTAGGAAACAGCTAACCTAACGTTACTAGCTAAGTTAGCTGCTTGCTATAGCTAAAATCGTAGCTAGCTAACTAACTTGTGGAATGGTGACATACAGATGATTCATAAATTGTAAGTTTTTTATTGCTGATTATTACCAACAATTGGTTTTCTGTTTGTAGCGCTAAAATAGCAGCTGGCGCCGTGGTTTGCGTGGAAAGCGAGATCAGAGGAGACGTCACTATTGGTAAGAAGACGTCAAATGTAGCCTTTACCTAGCAAGCCAGCCAGCTAACGTTCATTAACTATTTATAAGAATGAGCAACTATTTATAAGAATGAGCAACAACAAAATGCGGTTGTCTCTAGTAACGCTAGTCTCCATATAGCTTGACATTATTACACGGTTCAGGTCACTGAGTACATATCCACTTTGCAGCCAGCTAAGATGGCTGATGTAGGCTAACGTTACACATTTGACTGTGCACGACGTTCATGTATGGTCCTTCCAGGTGCCAGAACGGTGGTCCATCCCAAAGCCCGCATCATAGCCGAGGCAGGACCCATAGTCATCGGAGAAGGCAACCTCATAGAGGAACAAGCTCTCATAATTAACAGGTGAACATAACAATAGTGAATCTTATAGAAGTGGAAGGGTGCAATGGTGTGGTCTCTCCTGTGTTCTATTTACACTCTTTCTCCCCCTCTTCTACATCCCTCCATTCTCCCTTCTCTTTATTTCTCCCTTCCTTCTATTCTGTCTTTTCCTCACCTTTTCCTCTGCCATATAATGGTCTCTTTTTCCTCTGCCATATAATGGTCTCTTTTTCCTCTGCCATATTATGGTCTCTTTTTCCTCTGCCATATTATGGTCTCTTGTCCTCTGCCATATTATGGTCTCTTTTTCCTCTGCCATATATGGTCTCTTTTTCCTCTGCCATATTATGGTCTCTTTTTCCTCTGCCATATTATGGTCTCTTTTTCCTCTGCCATATTATGGTCTCTTTTCCCTCTGCCATATTATGGTCTGCATTGTAGTGATTGAAGCTGGTTGTCTGTCTTTGATCAGTTATCCAGAGAACATTACACCTGACTCTGAGGGAGTGGAGCCCAAGACGATGACCATCGGCATCAACAACGTGTTTGAAGTTGGATGTAGTATCCTTTATATTGAAGTGTGGTACACTGACCTATAGGGTACAGCCACTGACCTGTAGGGTACAGCCACTGACCTATAGGGTACAGCTAGGGTACAGCCACTGACCTGTAGGGTACAGCCACTGACCTATAGGGTACAGCTAGGGTACAGCCTCTGACCTATAGGGTACAGCCACTGACCTATAGGGTACAGCTACTGACCTATAGGGTACAGCCACCGACCTATAGGGTACAGCTAGGGTACAGCCACTGACCTATAGGGTACAGCCACGGACCTATAGGGTACAGCCACTGACCTATAGCAGCCTTTCGAAAGTATGGATCACGACCCAAAGTGTGTCGCGGACCTGTTAATGGTGGGTCGCGACGTGTTAGAGTAAATGTATAATTATTAAATGAATTACTTGAATTGATTTGGCCAAGTGCAACTGCGCTCTCTGCTTAGCAGCGGTGTCAGTTTGGCAGCTGCGCGAGCGGGAGGGGTGACGTGTGTGCGCTTCGCGTTTTACCGGATCCTTTTTCTGCAGTGTTGTTGAAGATCACTCCGCGACCCAAACGCTGCAGCGCCGTGGTTCGGCAGCAGATGAAGCGCTGTCAGCCAATGACTTGTCATTTCCACTGGCCGCTGTCTTCCAATGGGAGTCGAGCTAGCCATAAGTTCTGACTGGGCTCAATCGTCATGAAACGCAAATACAGCGATGAGTTTCTCTCTCTTGGTTTCATACAAACTTTGAGAAATAACGAGGAGCGCCCACAATGTGTTTTGTGTGGGGAAGTGCTTATTAATGTGTCTCTCAAAACGAACAAATTAAACGACACGTCCTGACCAAACATCCACAGCATGACCAGGATTGCAGTTTGCCGTTTTCTCGCCAAATTGGGCTACATTGAAAACGATGTTTGGGCTACTTCTAAATTGCACCGCGGCCGCCATGCATTTCTCTTAAAAAATATATATATATTTAACTGTAACCTGCTGCTGCTGACTATCAGGCAGTGAGCAGGTTGTTACTGAGTGAGTGAGTGAGTGAGTGAATGAAGGAAGGGCCAGAGGGGTGTGTGCATTGAGAGTGCTGCAGCAGAGACAGCTATGTCAAGGAGCGCGCACATCGTGACAACTTCTTACCGGTTGTAGGTAGGCTATTTAGATTGGTCATTATGGAGACACCCTTTTCCCATAAAACATATTAACGCGCTAGAACTGATATAACGGAGGCAAAGCATTGGAAAATGACTTTTGGCGCACTAGTGCTCTTTAGATAAGTTCGCTCAGAGGTGTTTTTAAAGTAAACTGCATTCAAATGTCGACTTTTCTTATGGATAACCTGTATCAAGCGAAGGGTTTTACTCATGCTCAGTTCTAGGCTCTGGAGCGCTGCGCGACTGGACATTTGAAATGGAAGTTATGGAACTCCCTCGCGTAGTTCTGTTATGGGGAAAAATAGGAAGTTATCAATTGTGATCATGGTCACAGCGCTATCGCGAATGTATCATTCTCCACATGTAATGTCAGTTTCATTGTGGAATTTTCCCTGAAATTAGATGTTGGCCTTTCAGGGGCTATAGGCTACCAGCATCTAGCTCAGCAGACCATGGCAAACCCAGATTTTAGTCAGTAGGCCTATGCCTATTGAAATAACAAGTAAATCTCGCAAATAGGCCGTTTTATAACGGTTTGTAGTCTTAACATCTGGCAAATTGACGGGAAACAGCCTAACATTCGTTTTTTTGAAGTTCATCCAAGTGTTTCTTGCACAGAGATTGAGATCAGCTGTCGAACTTTCATCACTCAAACTCTCCTGTTGGATTTATCTATAGTTATCCACAATTGGGATTTATTTACAATTTTAAACTGGGTGGTTTGAGCCCTGAATGTTGATTGGTTGAAAGCCATGCTATATCAGACTGTGTACCATGGGAATGACAAAAAAAATCACTTTTTACTATTCTAATTACATTGTTAACCAGTTAATAATAGCAATAAGGCTCCTCAGGGGTTTGTGGTATATGACCAATATACCACAGATAAGGGCTATGTCCAAAGAACAGCCACTAGCCGTGATATATTGGTCATATACCACACCTCCTAGGGCCTTATTGTTTAATCATAGCAGTCAAAACAAGGTAAATCGACATCCACTGATAGAAAATGATCTGGAGAGTTTAATAAAGGGGCTGTTTATCTTTTGTCTTGCGACATATTCTTAAACTTACAATCATTATTATTTTGATGGAAAAACAAATTTAGCTTCTTAGCCTACGTCGTTAAAAATTAGGTAGATATTCCTTCTTAATTGCTCGATAACGTTGTGGGAAAAGGGTTTCATGGATAAATGTGGCAACTCCTCTCTTTCTGCGAACAATTTTTGGGGGGGGGGGTTTCTGGGTTGTGGTATGCATAATTTGCCTAGAAATCTTAGCTGGACCTGGCAACACTGAGCATGACGGTAAACCCAGGGAGTTCTTTCAGAACAGGGCAGAGTGCTTCAGGAAACAGCGCTTCGACAGTGGAAAAGTAAGTCAGCTAGCAAAGCATTGTCGTCATTTTTATAACAGGTGATAAGCAGCAATAAGGGAGGACTATCTCTCATAGTAGCAGATGTGAGTTTCTCTTTCAAACAATTCCCTTTACCCAGCTAATAGCTAGATAGCAAACGTTAGCCAACGCAAGCTAGCTAACTACTGATAGTGAAACCTTAAGTAACAGTACAGATGAAGATGAAACATGATCAGGCTTACTGTAGAAATTATTGGTGAAAACAAGTCTAGGTTGGAACTATTGCTGTTAAAATACAAGTAATCATTTGTTTTATTCTGAACTGGAATAAACTGATTGAAGCAAGATGCTTTTTGAGGCAAACCCACTCACACAGTTCTGGGTTGCTCGTCTACAGCAGGAAGCGGTCTCCTGCCTGGCTGAGAAAGCAGTAGATGTTCTGATCCAGTTTGGCACCACATACCTATGCCAGTCAGGGTTCTCAACTCTGGCGTACTTAAAAAAAACAAGTACAGAAACAGACTCCATGCTGAGCATGACCTCAGGGTTGCACTGTCAAAAACGGAGCTCAGAATAGACATGCTTGTTGAAGCTTCAACCAGCCACACACCTCTCATTAGGACTGTGTGTGTGTGTGTGTGTGTGTTTTCTGGTCTACATCTGTGTGATGTGATCAATCAGTTTATTACCCAGTTCAGAATGAAAATGATTACTTTTATTTTAACAGCAATAGTTCCAACCTAGACATATATGTAAGAGTGTTTTGAATGGGAGAAAATAAACATGAATAGCTATTTATATTATTATATTTCATTTGTTTTAGGCTGGTATAAGGGCAATGAAATGTACCGATTATTTATGTATAGTTGCATGTTTTCATAAGCTTGGGTCCCAGGAAAACACAGAATTTCTAATTTGGGTCCCAGGCTGAAACAGTTTAAGAACCACTGACCTATAGGGTACAGCCACTGACCTATAGGGTACAGCCACTGACCTATAGGGTACAGCCACTGACCTATAGGCTACAGCCACTGACCTATAGGGTACAGCTACTGACCTGTAGGGTACAGCCACTGACCTGTAGGGTACAGCCACTGACCTATAGGGTACAGCTACTGACCTATAGGGTACAGCTACTGACCTGTAGGGTACAGCCACTGACCTATAGGGTACAGATATTAGGACATTTGACCTCTGTCTAATATTCCATACCTGTATGTGTGTATATTGTTGCTCTGAAAGTCATCATTTACATTTACGTCATTTAGCAGACGCTCTTATCCAGAGAGACTTACACATTGGTGCATTCACCTTATAGCCAGTGGGATAACCACTTTACAATATGTTTTTTTTTTTCTTTGGGGTGGGGTAAGGAGGGGTAGAAGGATTACTTTATCCTATCCCAGATATTCCTTAAAGAGGTGGGGTTTCAAGTGTCTCCGGAAGTATGAAACTGTCCTTAACCAATGATACTTGCAGTGTCTCAAGCTTTGAAAATTGGTGACAACAATGTCATAGAATCCAAAGGTAAGAAAGGTTAAAATGCCTCAAATTCAGTAATGACTGTCTCCCAGTGTTGTATATGACTGGGTGTGCCTGTGTTGATTGTTTTTTTAAAAAAATCACTTATGGGGAGAATCCCTTCCATCATCTAAACTGTGTCCCCCCCCTCTCCAGCTGACCTGGGCAGGAACATGATTCTGACCTCTGGTTGTATCATCGGAGCCTGTTGCCAGGTCAACACCTGTGAGGTCATACCTGAAAACACTGTCATCTTCGGCTCGGGGTGTCAGAGACGTGTGCAGACCGAGCGACCACAGGTACACACACACACACACACAGGCTGAGATTAGTGTTGTACAGATCTGTGTGTATAAAACATGTACATACAGTCTATGTAGCTCTGTCTTTCACCACGTTTACCAAAGAACCACTCCATCCTCATTAGCAGGGAAGAACAACGTGTCTTTGTGTGTTCATGTGTTCTGCAGCCCCAGACTCTGCAGCTTGACTTCCTGATGAAGATCCTCCCCAACTACCACCACCTGAAGAAGACTGTCAAAACCTCCTCCGCTGCCACGCCGGCTAAAAACTAACCTCCTCCGCTGCCACGCCGGTCCAAAAACTAACCTCCTCCGCTGCCACGCTGTCCAAAAACTAACCTCCAGCTCGCTGCCACGCTGTCCAAAAACTAACCTCCAGCTCGCTGCCCCGGCCATAAATGTACCTCCTCTGGCAGACCGTGAATGAAGGAAACTCTTACCACTCAAAATGTACTGCTACTACTTGAAACAGGGCTTTAACAAGAAACTGAAGAATGTCACTTAACTGTTCTCCTTGTCTCACCACACCAAGGTCCATGTTTCCCAGATTCAGCTCAGTCCTGGATTTAAAAGCTTGCTCAATTGAGAATCTCCATTGAAAGAGCTTTTTAGTCCAGGATTAGGCTTGATCTGTGACAGGGAAACTGCCCCTAAATGTATGAGAACTTCGTAGCGTAAATGCTATATGTTTCTTGTCTGACTGTTTACCACCATAATGTAAATGCTTTATATCCAATTGTAATTAAAATGACTTATTTAAAAGTTTATAGTTTGCTGTGTGGAGACTGTAGGACAGTGTTGCTGTACTCTTGACTTGAAATACTCACTGGCTGTGTCCCAATAATCTCCCCTTTCTCCCGAAGTGTGCACTTTGTTCACTTCCCTTTTGCAGATTTTAGGATCCCTCCCTGTTCTAACCTTCTCATCCAATGGGTTTTGAGAAGGAGGCGAGGAAACATGGAAATCCAAATCGAGATTCTTCCAATGACCGGTACATGGAAACGTGCTCCAACTCATGCCTACACCAATCCAATGCTTTCAAATGTGCGTGGAGGAGATGGACGAGTGCACACGCCCCAGGAGGATGGAGAGATGATTGGGATTCAGCCATTGACGATATGGACACATTTTAATACCGTGTGTAGATGCGGCAAACTTTAAAACAGGTTTTGATTGGATCACTTTGATCAGATCAGGGAAACCACATGTTAATGTGAGGTGTAACCAGGGCTATAAATATATATTTTTTTTGGAGAAATGGCAGTTTAGAAGATTAGAACCTGTGACCTTACATTTTTACATTTGACATTTTACTAATTTAGCAGACGCTCTTATCCAGAGCGACTTACAGTCAGTGCATTCATCTTAAGACAGCTAGGTGGGACAACCACATATCACAAGCATAGAAATACAAATGTTCCTCAATAAAGTTGCTATCAGTAGAGTCGGGGGCCAAGAGACCTGAGGTGGCAGAACGGAGCGCTCGGGTTGGGGTGTAGGGTTTGAGAATAGCCTGAAGGTAGGGAAGGGGGCAGTTCCTCTTGCTGCTCTGTAGGCAAGCACCATGGTCTTGTAGTGGATGCGAGCTTCGACTGGAAGCCAGTTGGAGTGTGCGGAGGAGCGGGGTGGCATGAGAGAACTTGGAAAGGTTGAAAACCAGACGGGCTTGCTGTGTTCCGGATGAGTTGCAGGGGTTTGATGGCACAAGCAGGGAGCCCTTCAGCGAGTTGCAGTAGTCCAGACGGGAGTTGACAAGTGCCTGGATTAGGACCTGCGCCACTTCCTGTGTGAGGTAGGGTCGTACTCTACGGATGTTGTAGAGCATGAACCTGCAGGAACAGGTCACTGCTTTGATGTTTGCAGAGAATGACAGGGTGTTGTCCAGGGTCACGCCAAGGTTCTTTGCACTCTGGGAGGGCAACACCTTGAAGTTGTCATCCGTGATGGAGAGGTCTTTGAGCGGGCAGGCCTTCCCTGGGAGGAAGAGCAGCTCCGTCTTGTCGAGGTTGAGCTTGAGGTGGTGGGACGACATCCAAGCTGAGATATCTTCCAGGCACGCAGAGATGCGTGTCGCCACCTGGGTGTCAGCAGGGGGAAGTAGTTGAGTCATCTGTCCTAGTGCTTAGTACACTGTGCTAGCAGGGGGTGGGCCACCATTCTTGTTTTTTGCACATATTTAAAGCTGTTCAGACAAAGTTCGTAGATTAGAAATGTAATTAGTTAAGACTGTTGGAAAACTAGTCGCAACCAGGATCTGAACTGGCGACCTTGGCAGGTTGCGACCCCGCGTTTAACGCCCCCCCCCATCCACCTCCAACCTAAAAAGTTAATTTTCTTTGTCTCTCAGCTGTAAACTCCACTGAGCTTTCATCCAACCAATCAATTTGGCCACTGAGCTTTCATCCAACCAAATGTTAAGCGGGCAACAATCAGATTGAATCCAGGCCTTATGTCATGAAGAAGAAACGGTACAGCGTGTTGTCTATGACTTTATTGTGTGTCCGTCAGAGAGGCCTCAGGAAAAGGTCCTGTGTGTAACACGCTCAGTAATGAAGAAAGCTCAGAGGCCAGCGGTCACCAACAAACCAGGAACTAGAGAGCTACAGGATGTGTAGGCTTTTGTTCTAGCCCTGCACTAACACACCCGATTCACCTAATCAAAAAGTCTTGATGAACAGTTTATTAGCTGAGTAGTATATAGGTATGCCGGCACGAAGAGTTTCTATGGGAGTGGGGTGTTTGTCTAGCGCTGGTCCCAAATCTGCTATTATGTCAACTCCTTGTCATGTCGTTTTGGAATGATAGCACAAAGATCTGGGACCAGGCTAGTGTTTGTCTTGAGTAAACATTGCAGATTCTACGAGTTCTTTAGCTGAATCAGGAGTGTTTGTGCAGGTCTGGAGCAAAACCCTGCACAACCTGTATTTCTCCAGGACCAGGGTTGCCATTGGTGACCACTGTTGTAAATGAATATAGGGAACAACCACAGCAGATCATACGACAGCTATTATTTAAAACACTTTTTCACACACATGGTGTGCCAGACAAAATAAAGAAGATATTTACACATACAGCCCCATTCTAGGGTTACACATTTCCGGTACCTTTCCCGAAATTCCCAATGTTTTCCAGACATCCCCGTTGGAGTATTACCAGATTCCAGGGAATTTGTCATTACAGGAATATTCCAACTGGGATTTCTGGAAAACCTGTGAATTCTGGGAAAGTTACCGGAATTTTTGCTACCCTAAGCCGTTCACCTTTTGTATTACTGCTCAGAACCAAATGGTACAGTATTATCATAAATGACAGCAAGTGCCTCTTTAGGTTAATGTGTTTGGCAAGGACTTCACTTCTGTCAGCCATCTTGTGTCTCAATGTTCCAAAATGGCTTCCTTTCCTCATCTCCTCTCCTTTATCAGGGCAGAAAGGACAAGGAAAGGACAAGGAAAGGAAGCAAGATAATTGAGACACCGACAGTCTCATCTTCATTGTAGTTTTGGCGAGACCCAGAAAAAAAGTTTATTTCCGGAAAAACAAACTACAAAAACTACAACTCCCAGGTCACCCCTCTCTTACTGGGCCAGGAAAGAGGAAGTGGCATCACTTCTTAGCGGGTACGCCCTCTGAGTAGTCCTCCAGTACTCCGGCCAGATGGTCATTGTGAGTCTTGAAGCGTCTCTTCTTCTGTCCACCTGGCTTCTTCCTCTTGATTGGTAACTGTAGCAACACCAACAAAACAGCCAATGACAGACCGGTTTATTGTAGAAACAACCAATCACAGATAAGTTATGTGATATGCATGAAGCAGTGTGTCAGTACTCAGTATGAGGATGACAGAGGAATCAGAGAGGGAGGAGAGGATATGATGACAGAGGTATCAGAGAGGGAGGGGAGGATGACAGAGGTATCAGAGAGGGAGGAGAGTATGACAGAGGTATCAGAGAGGGAGGGGAGGATGACAGAGGTATCAGAGAGGGAGGGGAGGATGACAGAGGTATCAGAGAGGGAGGGGAGGATGACAGAGGTATCAGAGAGGGAGTAGAGGATGACATAGGTATCAGAGGGTGAGGAGAGGATGACAGAGGTAATCAGAGAGGGAGGGGAGGATGGACAGAGGTATCAGAGAGGGAGTGGAGGATGACAGAGGTATCCAAGAGGGAGGGGGAGGATGACAGAGGTATCAGAGAGGGAGGAGAGGATGACAGAGGTATCAGAGAGGGGGTGAGGGATGACAGAGGTATCAGAGAGGGGGAGAGAGGATTGACAGAGGTATCAGAGAGGGAGGGGAGGAGAGGATGACAGAGTTATCAGAGAGGGAGGAGAGGATGACAGAGGTATCAGAGAGGGAGGAGAGGATGACAGAGGTATCAGAGAGGGAGGAGAGGATGACAGAGGTATCAGAGAGGGAGGGGAGGATGACAGAGGTATCAGAGAGGGAGGAGAGGAGAGAGACAAGCTGAGAAATATGGAGAGAGAGATAGATGGAGAGTGATAGGATAAGATAGATGGAGAGAGAGTGATAGAGCTAGGAGATACAGACAAAAATCCATATCACCATAAATTGACTGAATTATCACGATAAATAGAAGTTTATAACATGAATGTGCCCCTCAATTACTTTATATATGACCTTTCAACCTACTACTTCTAGTTTGAATGTTGTAGCTTAGCAACTGTCTCGTTAACAAATAGCCCATATTAGTAGCCAAACGACCAAACATCACATTCCTCTAGTAAAGGATAATTATCCATATGTCCTCGATATCTGTTCTGTTTGGTCGTCACGAAAATTTTCGGCTTATCGTCCCAGCTATGTGATAGAGAGACAGAAATAGAGAGAGAGAGGTAGAGAGAGAGAGAGAGAGGTAGAGAGAGAGATGGAAAGAGGTAGAGAGAGAGACTTACGACTTTCTTTGGTCCAGTCTCCTGCATGGACGAGATGCCCTGTCTCTTCAGATAGTCCTCAATCTTCTCTTCATCCATAGAGTCCACTGGGATGCTACGCCACAGCTTGGTGAACTCTGTGGACGGCAGACCAGGAAACACAGACAGGATACCATTAGCTCAGGTAGGACAATAGTAGTAGTAATTACATTTTTACAAGTAGGTCGTACTTGGCAGATAAAATATGAATTGCAGTACATACAAGTAAACACATTTCAAGACGCTAAAAAAGCAAAACAAACATCAAATAAAAAATCAGAATGACATGATTATATGTCTGGACTACAAAGTTCTGAGTACTAAATGACATGATTATATGTCTGGAACTTACAATTCGGAGTACTGAATGACTTTGATTATAGGTCTGACTACAAAGTTCTGAGTACTGAATGGACCTGATTGATATGTCTGGACTACAAAGTTCTGAGTACTGAATGACATGATTATATGTCTGGACTACAAAGTTCTGAGTACTGAATGACATGATTATATATCTGGACTACAAAGTTCTGACTACTGAATGACATGATTATATGTCTGGACTACAAAGTTCTGAGTACTGAATGACATGATTATATGTCTGGACTACAAAGTTCTGATGACATATTATAAGTCTGGCTACAAACTGATGGAATGACATGTTATTTTGAGCACAAGTTCTGACAGAGCATGTTATAGTCGGACACAAAGTTCTGGAATACATGATTATTGGTCTGGACTAAGTTCTGATGACATGATTCATTCTGACTAAGTTCTGATACTGAATGACATGATAATTTGCTACAAAGTTCTGACTACTGATGACATGATTATGTCTGACTACAAGTTCAGTACTGAATGACATGATTAATGTCTGGATACCAATCTGAGCTACTGAATGCATGATTATATGTCTGGATACAAAGTTCTGAGTACTATATATCTAAACTGTGTGGATCTAACCAGGAGGAGCATGAGCTCATAACTCTAACCTCTGGACGACCATTTCTATTCAAAGAATGAAATTCGACTAAGCAAAGGGAGAGAAACCGTACCAGTGCTCACACTTCCTACAGAGAACTAAGTGACTTTATGCAGTTGTACTTTAGGCTTTATTACCTTAGACTTTATTACTTTAGACTTATAAAAACAGTTTTTTGAAAAGCTTTGGCGATATTTACAGAATGTATTTCATGCCAATAAAGCTAATTGAATTGAAATAAGGGAGAGAGACCTTACCAACGCTCTCATCTGCATCTACTGCAAACTGATAATGAAGGGAGAAATGTACCAACACTTTCACATTCTACGTTGGAAGACAGGAGAGAAACCCTACCAATGCTCAGCTTTTCAACAGAGATTTAAAATGGGGAGAAACTATACAGATGCTCTCATCTTCAACCACCACAAACTAAATTAAGGGAGAGACCATACCAACGCTCTAGTTCTAATTCACATTATATTCTCACCTTCTACAGAGAACTAAACAAAAGAGACCATAACAATGTTCTCACTCTCTCATTTACCACGAGCACAAACAAATAATTAAGGTAGAGAAACCATGCCAACGCTCTCACCTTCGTCTACTGTGAACTGGCAGTGTTTATCGTTATAGAACAGAATCTTCTTCTTGTCTGGTCTGGTCACAAAGATGATCTGGTCTCCCAAAACCTGGGGAGGAACAGAGGCCGTTACTACGTCTGACTCAATAATACTATCGTCAACTACGTCTGATTCAATAATACTATCGTCAACTACGTCTGACTCAATAATACTATCGTCAACTACGTCTGATTCAATAATACTATCGTCAACTACGTCTGATTCAATAATACTATCGTCAACTACGTCTGACTCAATAATACTATCGTCAACTACGTCTGATTCAATAATACTATCGTCAACTACGTCTGATTCAATAATACTATCGTCAACTACGTCTGACTCAATAATACTATCGTCAACTACGTCTGATTCAATAATACTATCGTCAACTACGTCTGATTCAATAATACTATCGTCAACTACGTCTGATTCAATAATACTATCGTCAACTACGTCTGATTCAATAATACTATCGTCAACTACGTCTGACTCAATAATACTATCGTCAACTACGTCTGACTCAATAATACTATCGTCAACTACGTCTGATTCAATAATACTATCGTCAACTACGTCTGATTCAATAATACTATCGTCAACTACGTCTGATTCAATAATACTATCGTCAACTACGTCTGACTCAATAATACTATCGTCAACTACGTCTGACTCAATAATACTATCGTCAACTACGTCTGACTCAATAATACTATCGTCAACTACGTCTGACTCAATAATACTATCGCCAACTACGTCTGATTCAATAATACTATCGTCAACTACGTCTGACTCAATAATACCATCGCCAACCAGAGGGTGAGGATTAAACCAGGTAATAGTAATGTGTGTATTTGTGTCTATGTGTCTGCCTCAGTGTGTGTGTCCTGCCTTAGCGTCTCTCTCTCTGTGTGTGTGTGTGTGTGTGTGTGTGGGTCTGTGTGTGTGTGTGTGTGTGTGTGTCTGTGTGTGTGTGTATATGTATATGTGTGTGTGTGTGTGTGTGTGTGTGTGTGGGTCTTCCCCTGTCTCTCTCATTTACATGTTTAGTCATTTAGCAGACGCTCTTATCCAGAGCGACTTACATGAGCAATTAGGGTTAAGTGCCTTGCTCAAGGGGCACATCGACAGATTTCTTCACAACACTCTTAACCACTAAGCTACCTGCCGCCCCAGGGACCTCTCACACACCTTCAGTGCCTTGGCAGAGTTAGGTAGCCCCTCCTCAACATCATCCAACAGTACTCCTCCCAGTCCCAGCTGGTCGTGTTTATCCAACAGTCTGAGCAACGCTCTCTTGTCCTTCAGGTGGTATTTGGGCTTGAAGGCGTATTTACCATCCCTCACATCTATCTTAGGGTTACTGGCCAGCGCCTGGGGGGACGGGACAGAGGGTTAGCCAAGTCACATTTAGTTCAACTTTATTTACATTGGTCTCAAAACACTGTTGTTTGATTGGCCCGGGGAAGAGGAGGAGAAGGGGGGGGGGGGATAATGAGATTGATTGGGCCAGGGAAGGAGAGGGGGAGGGGAAATACAGAGAGGGATTGGCCCGGGGAAGAGGAGGGGGAGGGGGAATACAGAGAGGGATTGGCCCGGGGAAGAGGAGGGGGAGGGGGAATACAGAGAGGGATTGGCCCGGGGAAGAGGAGGGGGAGGGGGAATACAGAGAGGGATTGGCCCAGGGAAGAGGAGGGGGAGGGGGAATACAGAGAGGGATTGGCCCAGGGAAGAGGAGGGGGAGGGGGAATACAGAGAGGGATTGGCCCGGGGAAGAGGAGGGGGAGGGGGAATACAGAGAGGGATTGGCCCGGGGAAGAGGAGGGGGAGGGGGAATACAGAGAGGGATTGGCCCGGGGAAGAGGAGGGGGGAGGGGGAATACAGAGAGGGATTGGCCCGGGGAAGAGGAGGGGGAGGGGGAATACAGAGAGGGATTGGCCCGGGGAAGAGGAGGGGGAGGGGAATACAGAGAGGGATTGGCCCGGGGAAGAGGAGGGGGAGGGGGAATACAGAGAGGGATTGGCCCGGGGAGAGAGTTATGGTATGTTAATAATAGATAGGTAGAGGAGGGGTAGAGGATAGTTTCTAAAAATATGTTTTATGATAAGAATAATGAGGACAATAGTTTGGATGAGGAGGAGGAGGAGGAAGAAGAAGGACGAGGAGGAATTGATCATTATCATTTAGCACACTGTTGTTTCTGATGCATGTATTTATTGTGTGACCAGATTCTCTCTCCCTCTCTTTCACAGACACACATGGGGCATGCAGGTGCTTGTGGGAGGTGGGAACTCAAACATTGCCGTTCACATGCTGTTGAAATCACACCAATTCTTCAACCAATACGATTTTAGCTAGCTAACGTTGCTAATAATAAAATGAGCTAGCTTGCTTAACATTGACAATATGGTCAAACGATTTACATTATTCACATTGGTAAGTTTGTTATTGTCCTCATCTATTGAAAAGGTGAAAGGTCAGAGGTGAAATTATACAACTCAGGTAACATTCTCAGTTCCCCACTCGTGATTACAACTTGGACTGTCATTGAAGTGACATTTCCCACTCGCAACTCCTAACTTCCCATAACTCTGATTACATGTGAACGCCCCCAACACACACCTCAGTCATCAGCCACTGTTTCAGCTTCATGATAACATGTGAACGCCCCCAACACACACCTCAGTCATCAGCCACTGTTTCAGCTTCATGATAACATGTGAACGCCCCCAACACACACCTCAGTCATCAGCCACTGTTTCAGCTTCATGATAACATGTGAACGCCCCCAACACACACCTCAGTCATCAGCCACTGTTTCAGCTTCATGATAACATGTGAACGCCCCCAACACACACCTCAGTCATCAGCCCACTGTTTCAGCTTCATGATAACATGTGAACGCCCCCAACACACACCTCAGTCATCAACCACTGTTTCAGCTTCATGATAACATGTGAACGCCCCAACACACACCTCAGTCATCAACCACTGTTTCAGCTTCATGATAACATGTGAACGCCCCAACACACACCTCAGTCATCAGCCACTGTTTCAGCTTCATGATAACATGTGAACGCCCCAACACACACCTCAGTCATCAGCCACTGTTTCAGCTTCATGATAACATGTGAACGCCCCCAACACACACCTCAGTCATCAGCCACTGTTTCAGCTTCATGATAACATGTGAACGCCCCCAACACACACCTCAGTCATCAGCCACTGTTTCTGCTTCATGATAACATGTGAACGCCCCCAACACACACCTCAGTCATCAGCCACTGTTTCAGCTTCATGATAACATGTGAACGCCCCCAACACACACCTCAGTCATCAGCCACTGTTTCAGCTTCATGATAACATGTGAACGCCCCAACACACACCTCAGTCATCAGCCACTGTTTCAGCTTCATGATAACATGTGAACGTCCCAACACACACCTCAGTCATCAGCCACTGTTTCAGCTTCATGATAACATGTGAACGCCCCCAACACACACCTCAGTCATCAGCCCACTGTTTCAGCTTCATGATAACATGTGAACGCCCCCAACACACACCTCAGTCATCAGCCACTGTTTCAGCTTCATGATAACATGTGAACACCCCCAACACACACCTCAGTCATCAACCACTGTTTCAGCTTCATGATAACATGTGAACACCCCCAACACACACCTCAGTCATCAACCACTGTTTCAGCTTCATGATAACATGTGAACACCCCCAACACACACCTCAGTCATCAACCACTGTTTCAGCTTCATGATAACATGTGAACGCCCCCAACACACCTCAGTCATCAGCCCACTGTTTCAGCTTCATGATAACATGTGAACGTCCCAACACACACCTCAGTCATCAGCCCACTGTTTCAGCTTCATGATAACATGTGAACGCCCCCAACACACACCTCAGTCATCAACCACTGTTTCAGCTTCATGATAACATGTGAACGCCCCCAACACACACCTCAGTCATCAGCCAGTGTTTCTGCTTCATGATAACATGTGAACGCCCCAACACACACCTCAGTCATCAGCCACTGTTTCAGCTTCATGATAACATGTGAACGCCCCCAACACACACCTCAGTCATCAGCCACTGTTTCAGCTTCATGATAACATGTGAACGCCCCCAACACACACCTCAGTCATCAACCACTGTTTCAGCTTCATGATAACATGTGAACGTCCCAACACACACCTCAGTCATCAGCCACTGTTTCTGCTTCATGCCGATGTCCAGTAGTTTGGTCTCATCTAGAATCTCCTCCACAGTCAGGTGGTGAGTGTCTCCGCGCTGGTGTCTGGTCTGGAGGACAGGAAGGAACAGAGAGAAATACATGAGCTATTGTGAGACTCAGGGGGATGTGAAATGAAGCTAATCTGATAGCCAAAGGCTTTCAGTTTGGGCTTGCAGGAAATTGTGACAAACTAGACCCGCCAGTGAAATGTTGACTTCTCAAGTATGGCATTTAGGAGCTGAACAACACCCGGGCTGGTGTGGTCTAATAGCCAGGAGGAACGTTTCTAAACTCCTTCAATTCAACGTGGTAGTAGTCTAACCACCGGACAGAGAAGGACGGAACTCAGAATCCAGGACGTTTTTATTATTGGTTGGTCACATGATGCTTAACAGAAGTCATCTGTGTCACGGCAGCTTGTCTGCATCGACTGAGTCAAAACAAGGTAGCTTCAGCACTGTGAAAAGACTTAGAGCACACACACACACACACACACACACAGGCTCGCACACCAACACACAATCTGTGAACATTATGTAGATTGTGATGAGTCATAGTTTGGTGTGAAAAAGCACCCAGTCTGACAGAGGTACTGTCCCAGAGCAGAGCTGAACATGAAACATGTTGGACTAACTAAAGGAGGAGGGGAGAAGCAAACTGTTGAGGCAGGAAGTAACATCCCAATGAACCCCTTGAGACCGGGATGGAGGGTTTGGAGGAGAGAAGGGGGAAGTGGTTTAATGGTGATGATGGCTTAGACTGTTGAGGGAGGAGCTCACCAATCACACCAATCACACGCCACTAAACAACCTTTATGACAACATATCATTACTACAGTGTTTATGTCACTGTAGGATCCTGTAGCATGTGTGGTGCTGTTTAGCTCAGCTGGTAAGAGCATGATGCTCGTGGGCTCCAGCAGTATGAACAACGAATGCACTCACTACTGTTAGTCACTCTGGACAAGAGCATCTGCTATGTGATTGAAATGCCACGTCAATGGCACCATCCATGTATTGTGTGTGTGTGTGTGTGGGTGTCCACCTTACCTTCATGTAGTTGACTATCTTCGCCAGGCAACCAAACTTGTAGCCAGAGCTGCCTGTTAGAGCCTTCAGGTTAAAGTTACCATTACTGGTGTCTGGAGAGGGAGATGGGGAGAGAGGGAGAGAGGGGGGGAGGGGGGAGAGGGAGAGAGAAAGAGAGAGAGAGAGAGAGAGGGGGGGGGGGGGGGGGAGGTGGAGAGGGAGAGAGAAAGAGAAAGAGAGAGAAAAGACGTGCGAAGGAGAGGGACGAGGAAGAGGGAGAGAGAGAGGGAAGAGGGAGGACGAGAGGGAGGAAGAGAGAGAGAGAGGGGGGGGGAAGTGGGGGAGGCAGAGGGAAAAGAGAAAAAGAGAGAGGAGAGAAAGAGAAAGAGAAAAGCGAAAGAGAAAAGAGAAAGAGAAAGAGAGGGAGAGGGAGAGAGAGGACAGACAGAGACAGAGACAAAACTGGTCAGATAAAACTATATCATAATTACCAGCTCAAATAAAGATCACGATCAGAATCTATGAGTTAATTAATTGCTATACATGTTGTCCAACAATAGCAGTTATTCAACAGAGACTCATATAGGTCAAAAGCACATTGTACTAATCCAATAACGTTGTGATTTTATTGTTATTGTGGAAGAAGATTAAAAAAAACTCTGTAGCAGAAGCTCCGAAGTGCCATTCCCCCTGTGTCTGATATGGTTATAAGGGCACTAGATAGGGGGTATAAGGGCACTAGATAGGGGGTGTAAGGGCACTAGATAGGGGGTATAAGGGCACTAGATAGGGGGTATAAGGGCACTAGATAGGGGGTGTAAGGGCACTAGATAGGAGGTATAAGGGCACTAGATAGGAGGTATAAGGGCACTAGATAGGGGGTATAAGGGCACTAGATAGGGGGTATAAGGACACTAGATATGGGCGGCAGGTAGCTTAGTGGGTAAGAGCGTTGTGCCAGTAACCGAAAGGTCGCTGGTTCTAATCCCCGAGCCGACTATGTGAAAAATCTGTCGATGTGCCCTTAAGCAAGGCACTTAACCCTAATTGCTCCTGTAAGTCGCTCTGGATAAGAGCGTCTGCTAAATGACTAAAATGTAAAATGTAAATGTAGATAGGAGGTATAAGGGCACTAGATAGGGGGTATAAGGACACTAGATAGGAGGTATAAGGGCACTAGATAGGGGGTATAAGGGCACTAGATAGGGGGTGTAAGGGCACTAGATAGGGGGTATAAGGACACTAGATAGGAGGTATAAGGGCACTAGATAGGGGGTATAAGGGCACTAGATAGGGTTCCATTTCAGGCCCTACTCTAGTGGCTCTGCGTCATTGGCTTCAGCTGTAAGGCCTGTTTCTGGAGACAAGCCAATCAGAGCGGGCCCGTTGGTGTGACTCATAAATGATTCATCACGTGGGTGGGAGCTGCTGCTGGGTGCTAATGAGAAGGCGGGGCATACATTTTATTTGAGGAGATTTGGCCAATACAGAGGAGAGGAACGGGGGGTGGGGGGGTGAGCTTAGCCATTGGTAGAGTGGTAAGGTCTGAGCACAGGCTGTGCCTTGTGTGGGGAAGATGAGCAGAGCTGCAAGGAGTGGCAGGGAGGAGAGAGAGAGAGAGACACAGAGCGAGAGGGAAGGGAGAGCATCTTTTCCAAGCATCCACCCCACAGTACAGGCTACACAGGTGAGTCTGCATATTTCTCTGGAAACACTGGGAGATTAGCAGTCTGTCTGCACGCTTGGCTGCCATGTCTCAGGGCAAGGTGTGTGTGTGTGTGTGTGTGTGTGTGTGTGTGTGTGTGTGTGTGTGTGTGTGTGTGTGTGTGTGTGTGTGTGTGTGTGTGTGTGTGTGTGTGTGTGTGTGTGTGCGCATCTACTAGCCTAATCCATCCAATGAAGCCTACATTTTGATCTGTGATGCATTCTTTCATAAGAGGATGGTTTACCTTCTATTCCTGTAGCATTCTGGATAACAGCACTAAATTATACATGGTTTTATCAACACCAGAGGACAGACAGTAGCCCAGCCTGTGGGCTATGCTGTGAGCAGACAGACAGACGGGATGAATGTTTGTATAACAGACTGTCAGAGGAAAGGATGAGTGTTTGTAGCAGAACAGACTGTCAGAGTAAAGGATGAGTGTTTGTAGCAGAACAGACTGTCAGAGTAAAGGATGAGTGTTTGTAGCAGAACAGACTGTCAGAGTAAAGGATGAGTGTTTGTAGCAGAACAGACTGTCAGAGTAAAGGATGAGTGTTTGTAGCAGAACAGACAGTCAGAGTAAAGGATGAGTGTTTGTAGCAGAACAGACAGTCAGAGTAAAGGATGAGTGTTTGTAGCAGAACAGACTGTCAGAGTAAAGGATGAGTGTTTGTAGCAGAACAGACAGTCAGAGTAAAGGATGAGTGTTTGTAGCAGAACAGACTGTCAGAGTAAAGGATGAGTGTTTGTAGCAGAACAGACAGTCAGAGTAAAGGATGAGTGTTTGTAGCAGAACAGACTGTCAGAGTAAAGGATGAGTGTTTGTAGCAGAACAGACTGTCAGAGTAAAGGATGAGTGTTTGTAGCAGAACAGACTGTCAGAGTAAAGGATGAGTGTTTGTAGCAGAACAGACAGTCAGAGTAAAGGATGAGTGTTTGTAGCAGAACAGACAGTCAGAGTAAAGGATGAGTGTTTGTAGCAGAACAGACAGTCAGAGTAAAGGATGAGTGTTTGTAGCAGAACAGACTGTCAGAGTAAAGGATGAGTGTTTGTAGCAGAACAGACTGTCAGAGTAAAGGATGAGTGTTTGTAGCAGAACAGACTGTCAGAGTAAAGGATGAGTGTTTGTAGCAGAACAGACAGTCAGAGTAAAGGATGAGTGTTTGTAGCAGAACAGACTGTCAGAGTAAAGGATGAGTGTTTGTAGCAGAACAGACTGTCAGAGTAAAGGATGAGTGTTTGTAGCAGAACAGACTGTCAGAGTAAAGGATGAGTGTTTGTAGCAGAACAGACTGTCAGAGTAAAGGATGAGTGTTTGTAGCAGAACAGACTGTCAGAGTAAAGGATGAGTGTTTGTAGCAGAACAGACAGTCAGAGTAAAGGATGAGTGTTTGTAGCAGAACAGACTGTCAGAGTAAAGGATGAGTGTTTGTAGCAGAACAGACTGTCAGAGTAAAGGATGAGTGTTTGTAGCAGAACAGACTGTCAGAGTAAAGGATGAGTGTTTGTAGCAGAACAGACAGTCAGAGTAAAGGATGAGTGTTTGTAGCAGAACAGAGACACTAGACTGCTAGAGGATGGTTCCTGGTCAAAACTAGTGCACTATGTAGGGAAGGCAGTGAGGTTGTTGTGATTCAGATTAAGATCAGCAAACAGATGACTAGGCTTCTTCCCCTATAAGGATTTAAAGAAGGACACACACACATACTATAAGGATTTAAATTAGGATGGATTTGGCTGGCTGCATTTACCCCCTCTAGACTGGATGGGACAACACATTAGGGGGGAGGGGGTGTGGGAGCCCCTGTGCAGACAGGCACAGCAGGAGACACCTCTCTGCCTCGGGCTGCATGCTGTCTGGGGTCCTACACCACTTCAGGGAGGAGAGAGGACGGCTTGAGAGAGAGGACAAAGAGGAGGAGAGGGAGGGAGGGAGGGAGGAAACAAAGAGGAGGTAGAGGAGGTAGAGAGAGGGAGGGAGGGAGGGAGGGAGGGAGGGAGGGAGGGGGGAGGGAGGGAGGGACAGAGAGGAGGGAGGAGGGAGGGAGGGACAGAGAGGAGGGAGGGAGGGAGGGAGGGAGGGAGGGAGGGAGGGAGGGAGGGAGGGAGGGAGGGAGGGAGGGGTAATGGTAGGGAGGAACAGAGAGGAGGTTAGAGAGAGGGGAGGGAGGGTGATGGTAGGGAGGAACAGAGAGGAGGTAGAGGGAGGGAGGGAGGGGTGATGGTAGGAGGAACAGAGAGGAGGTAGAGAGGAGGGAGGGAGGGGTGATGGTAGGGAGGAACAGAGAGGAGTAAAGAGAGAGAGGGAGGGGTGTGATGGTAGGGAGGAACAGAGAGGAGGTAGAGAGAGGAGGGGGGAGGGGTAATGGTAGGGAGGAACAGAGAGGAGGTTAGAGAGAGGGAGGGAGGTGGTGATGGTTGGGAGGAACAGAGAGGAGGTAGAGAGGGGGGAGGGGGGGTGATGGTAGGGAGGAACAGAGAGGAGGTAGGGGAGAGGGGGGTGAGGGTTGTAATGGTAGGGAGGAACGAGAGGAGGTAAGAGACGAGGAGGGAGGGGTGATGGTAGGGAGGAAACAGAGAGGATGGTAGAGAGAGGGGGGGGGTGATGGAGGGGAACAGAGAGGAGGTAGATGAGAGGAGGAGGAGGGTGATGGTTTGATGGTAGGGGGAACGAGAGAGGTAGAGTAGAGAGAGAGGGAGAGGGTGTGGTGATGGGGGTGATGGTAGGGAGGAAAAGAGAGGGGGTAGGAGAGAGAGGAGGGGGGTGGTGAGGGTAGGGAGAACAGAGAGGATGGTAGGTAGAGAGAGGGAGGGAGGGGTGATGGTAGGGAGGAACAGAGAGAGGTAGAGAGAGAGAGGGGAGGGGGTTGATGGTAGGGAGGAACAGAGAGGAGGTAGAGAGAGAGGAGGGAGGGGTGTTTGGTAGGAGAACAGAGAGGAGTAGAGAGAGGGAGGAGGGATGGGGTTATGGTAGGGAGGAACAAGAGAGGAGTTAGAGAGAGGAGGGAGGGGTGATGGTAGGGAGGAAAAGAGAGGAAATAGGAGAGAGGTGAAGAGAAGGAGGTGAGGGAGTTGAGTGTGATGGTAGGGAGGAACAGGAGAGAGGTTAGAGAGAGAGAGGGGGGAGGGTGGTTGATGGTAGGGAGGAACAGAGAGGAGGTAGAGAGAGGAGAGGGATAGGTGGTAATGGTAGGGAGGAACAGAGAGGAGGTAGAGAGAGGGAGGGAGGGGTGATGGTAGGGAGGAAACAGAGAGGAGGGTAGAGAGAGAGGAGGGAGGGGTGATTGGTAGGGAGGAACAGAGAGGATGGTAGAGAGAGGGAGGGAGGGAGGGTTGATGGTAGGGGAGAAACAGAGAGGAGGTAGAGAGGGGAGGGAGGGAGGGGTGATGGTAGGGAGGAACAGAGAGGAGGTAGAGGAGAGAGGGGGAGGGGTATGGTAGGGAGGAGAAACAGAGAGGAGGTAGAGAGAGAGGGAGGGAGGGTGATTATGGATAGGGAGGAACAGAGAGGAGGTAGAGAGAGGGAGGGAAGGGGTAATGGTAGGGAGGAACAGAGAGGAGGGTAGAGAGAGGGAGGGAGGGGTGGTAATGGTAGGGAGGAACAGAGAAGGAGGTAGAGAGAGGGGGAGGGGGTAATGGTAGGGAGGAACAGAGAGGAGGGTAGAGAGAGGGAAGGGAGGGGTGATGGTATGGGAGGAACAGAGAGGAGGGTAGAAGAGGGGAGGGAGGGGTGTAATGGTAGGGAAGGGAACAGAGAGGAGGTAGAGAGGAGAGGGGAGGGAGGGGTGATGGGTAGGGAGGAAACAGAGAGGAGGTAGAGAGAGAGGGGGAGGGGTTGAGGGTAGGGGAGGAACAGAGAGGAGGTAGAGAGAGGGAGGGAGGGGTGATGGTAGGGAGGAACAGAGAGGAGGTAGAGAGAGGAGGGAGGGAGGGGTAATGGTAGGGAGGAACAGAGAGGAGGTAGAGAGAGGGAGGGAGGGGTAATGGTAGGGAGGAACAGAGAGGAGGTAGAGAGAGAGGGGGGAGGGGTAATGGTAGGGAGGAACAGAGAGGAGGTAGAGAGAGAGGGAGGGAGGGAGGGAGGGGTGATGTTAGGGAGGAACAGAGAGGAGGTAGAGAGAGGGAGGGAGGGGTAATGGTAGGGAGGAACAGAGAGGAGGTAGAGAGAGGGAGGGAGGGGTGATGGTAGGGAGGAACAGAGAGGAGGATATAGAGAGGGAGGGAGGGAGGGAGGGAGGGGTGATGGTAGGGAGGAACAGAGAGGAGGTAGAGAGAGAGGGGGAGGGGTGATGGTAGGGAGGAACAGAGAGGAGGTAGAGGTAATGTTAGGGAGGAACAGAGAGGAGGGTGTAGTGCTGGGGGACTGGGCTAGACTATGGTGGTGTGGATGGAGGAAGAGGTGGGGGATGTATAGGCCTACATTCATAACAGACATAAAGGACATGGACCCGTTGACATCCCCCCCCCCCCGTCCCTCCCCTACTCTCCGTCCATCAACATTAGCCAACAGAACGTCCAATAACCCAATTAGGCTCTCACACAGGAAGTATTAGACTATGCTTTCACACAGGAAGTATTAGACTATGCTTTCACACAGGAAGTATTAGACTATGCTTTCACACAGGAAGTATTAGACTATGCTTTCACACAGGAAGTATTAGACTATGCTTTCACACAGGAAGTATTAGAGTAGAATAGAATAAGTATTTTCCCCAGAGAGGGGGAACTTCAGTTACCATGGCAGTGTTAATGTTACTAATGAGGACTACCAATAGCCTACTACATAGTCATAACAGTATGATTATATGTAGGCCTGTTGGCTACTTACATCTCATTAGATTAGATGACATTATGACGTCAGCTAATGGGGATCCCTAATTCAAATTCAAACGATCCCATTGACTTCATCAAAGACCAAGCCGTTGTATTTAGGGTTGCTGAACTAACAGTGAGCAGCATATTGCTGTCTGCTGTCCTCTGTGACTAACGGCAGGTCTGTACCACGTTCCACTAACAACACAATGTCAGGGGATAAACACACCAGGTCAGATTACACACCGCTTCTCCACAGTGAGTCAGTCAACAGTCTACTCCCTCCATCCACACTCCTCAACACAGATCCACAGAGCTGATGATGACAGAGTTAACGACCACAGGACAGGAGAGGTGGAATGACTCACTGCCAAAACACACACACACATCTGATAAGAATAGCCGAGTCAGCCACACACACGTTTGACGAGTAAAAGGTGAAATGTGGAAAGGCACAGTGAAACTCACACACACATTCTTTCTGAACTAGAGAAACTTGAGCTCAACAGAGCAACGACACAAGACTGACAGACAGCCAATCAAAGCAGGTTATACACTAACAGTACAGTCTTTCAGGGTTGGTGTGTCTGTGGAGGAGCACTTAGGTCTAACCTCATTTCTCCTTCTGATCTCTCTCTCTGGTTCACTCAACCAAAACTGGGTCAGTCAGCACAGTCGCTCTCACTGCTCCTGGCAGTGTGTGTGTGTGTGTGTGTGTGTGTGTGTGTGTGTAAACAGGCAGGCGCTCTCACTGCTCCTGGCAGAGTGTGTGTGTGTGTGTGTGTGTGTGTGTGTGTGTGTGTAAACAGGCAGGCGCTCTGCACCCCAGGAGACGTGTGCTGATGGAGTAAGTGGTGTCTCTCTCTCTCTCTCTCTCTCTCTCTCTCTCTCTCTCTCTACCTCTCTCTCTACCTCTCTCTACCTCTCTCTCTCTCTCTCACCAGGTCACAGCACCAGAACTCGGAATTTAGAGGCTCTATAAAGGCTCTTTCTCGCTCCATCTCTCTCCCTCCCTCCGCAGGTGAAACACACCATGAACAGCCTCAACGCCAGCACCCCTCTCCCCTGGCAGGCACTCTGATGCTGCCCCCCCTGTCCCTCTGTCTTTCTGACCCGGTGTCTCTTTACAGAGCCAAGCCCAAAACACTCACTCCCTCTATCATTTCTCTCTTTCTTTCTCCATTTCTCTCTCTACAGACTGTTAACACCAACACCCCTCTCCACCTCTCCAGGAACAAAACACTCACTCCCTCTATCATTTCTCTCCCAGGTAAAACACACCAATGGACCAGCTCAACGCCACCACCTCTCTCCCGTGGCGCCCTGACGCTGCCCCCCTGTCCCAGGTCTCCCTGCAGGTTCAGGAGGTGTACCCCTTCCACGACGGCTGGAACATAGCGTGCTTCATCATCCTCCTCCTCTTCATCCTCACAGTGGTCTCCCTGGCAGCCCTGGCCGTCCTCTACGAGCTGCTGGACTGTGGATGCTGTGCCAAGGTTAGACGGTCGGCAGGTAGCTTTTAGTGGTTAAGAGTGTTGTGCCAGTAACCGAAAGGTCGCTGGTTCTAATCCCCGAGCTGACTAGGTGAAAAAATCTGTCGATGTGCCCTTGAGCAAGGCACTTAACCCTAATTGCTCCTGTAAGTCGCTCTGGATAAGAGCGTCTGCTAAATGACTAAAAATTGTAAAATGTAAATGTAGACTAGGCTTGTTACTTTACTGTTCATTCTGCTGTTCCAAGGTTAGAAAAGGCTTGTTACTTTACTGTTCATTCTGCTGTTCCAAGGTTAGAAAAGGCTTGTTACTTTACTGTTCATTCTGCTGTTCCAAGGTTAGAAAAGGCTTGTTACTTTACTGTTCATTCTGCTGTTCCAAGGTTAGAAAAGGCTTGTTACTTTACTGTTCATTCTGCTGTTCCAAGGTTAGAAAAGGCTTGTTACTTTACTTGTATAATTTGCTGAAGTATAAATCGTGCTGTGCCAAGGCAAGAGGAGCGCTGGAACATAGACCACTCTGTCATCTTCTGTATCGGTTTTTTAAAAAGGCCAGCACTAAACTTGAAGCTGTCAAGTTGATATAACGGTTATTATTTTCTAGTCCAGATTGTTTCTGTTTCACACAACCTTTCCAGCCCACGTCGTGACACTGTTCATACGAAAGCAACAGGCTACATGCTGTTCGCATTGTATAGCCTAGTTCTAGCCGAGACGCCATGTTTTTCTATTGTCTTCGCGCTGTAACATTGGTCTGAACCTGTTGTTCTGCAACCAGGGGAAGACCCATCACGTGTTTCATACCTTGTGCCAGTGTTCATATGAAGGTGACAGGCCCTACATGCTGTCAACATCGTACAATAACAGGTCTGAGTCTAAACTACGGTTATGAAGGTGACAGGCCTACATGCTGTCAACATCGTACAATAACAGGTCTGATTCTAAACTACGGTTATGAAGGTGACAGGCCTACATGCTGTCAACATCGTACAAAAACAGGTCTGAGTCTAAACTACGGTTATGAAGGTGACAGGCCTACATGCTGTCAACATCGTACAATAACAGGTCTAAATCTAAACTACGGTTTTCCTTCTTGTCCAGGGGAAGACCCATCATGACCTGATGGAGGAGGAAGGACCAGGTCCCTTCCAGAACACGATGGAGAAGATACGCAGTCCCACGGGGTCACAAACCGAGGTGGTGTAGGGGGTTAGGGGTCATTGCAAACAGTGACCAGGGCCAAGCAGGAAGTTAGGTCATGACCTCTGACCCTGAATCTGAACTGAGACTGACCGTGCTGTGTGCTCACGGTTGACAATAGTGAGACGGCACCTTTGTATGTATGAGATTGTGTGTGTGGAATGATGGTGGTGTTATCTGTTCAAAGCACATCAGCAGGGATGGCAGGAGTGAAGAGGAGTTCTCCTTTGCCAAGTCCAGGGTTTTGACGAGTCTATTATTTGACGGGCGTTTAGCCTGCATCTTCATCCATCACCACATTGTAAGCCCCAGACACACGTTTCCAGACAGCTAAAGACACAGGAGGAGATCCACAATGATAGCCACCCCCTCTAGGACCCTACAGAGCCAGAAAGTCACCCAAAGTCAACCAACAACAATTAAAAGTAACTGTCGTAGTGTTTCCAGATTTCTATTAAATATGACCTATAATTATTTACAATATGAGTGAAATAGATTTACTTCCCAAAAAAAATAGTAATTCAGTATGTTAAAAAAGCAGCTTTTCTGTGTTGGAATGGTGTGGGCGTACCCCAATTACAGAATGATGTGGGCGTATACTGGTCATAAAATATATTCATGGCGCAGACCGCTGATTGGCCATCTCATCCTCCTCAGGAAGATGACCTCATCCTCTATGAGGAAATAACAAGGGTTTTTGAAACAGTCTGTTTGAGATACCAGTTTGAGGAGGGGTTTTTTCTCCAATTTATGCTTTGGCCACAAATACGAGTATAGGACGAATCAACAACATATTATGAGTTAACAGAATATTAAACTTTTAAAAAGTGAGAATTTCCACTGGACAGTTACTTTTAAAATGTCAACAAAGATCCAACTACCATAGAAGAAGTCCCACATTTTAATGTAATTTACAGATTGAATAAAAAAAAAATATCCCTAATGCTTTTGACTGCCTTTGTAGTGAAGTCCTCATCCATTTGAAAAAAAACTGTTCCCAACTTGCTGTGTAGTAATGATGTAATCAACATGTTGCTTGTGATGATGTCACCACTCACCAACATATTTTAAACCACAGCCAAGTGGCTGTGATACTACTCTCTTATGAAGGGGGCCACCTGTACACACACCGATGTAAATAAACATAGCCTACTTGCATTGTGCACAAGGTATTATTGCCTAAAATGATGGCGGTGGTGATGACTGTGATGATCAATAAAAAAGAATCACGTAAGAAAAACAAACTTTGTGGTCTCATTTTAAAAGTACTGACTGATGTTGAAATTAAGCTTATTAAAAAAAAGTGTACAATGAGTGTTTGTGGTCAATGAAGAAAAACAAAAATCTGCCATTTAAACATGTTATAAGAAAATAACACTTCATATTTGAAATGTAGAGGCAGGCAGGTAGCCAGGCTACCAATGTGACACACAACCAGCAGTATAATAGATTTCAAGACTAGGGTAGTATTCATTGGGGCACACCGTAACAAAATGTTTTACAACGGAAAATGAAAACAAGCGTTTCATATTTGACAGTTAAGTTTAGGTAATCCCTCCCCGTTTCAGTCAGATGTGTTCCATCTGGTGCCTAACGAACACGACCCAAATATACAGGGGTGTATTCACTAGTAGGAACCAGACTGAAGCAAAAGGGCTGAAATGGGGGAGGAAGAGACCTACCTAAATTAGTCCAATAAGAAGCGCTTGTTTTCATTTTTCTGATGCAAAACATTTTACTACAGTTTGCACTAATGAATAGACCCAAGGTTGAAGAGCCCTTCTGGGATGTATTCATTACGTCTTGCAACGGAAACCGTTTACCATTTAAGAACCAATCGGCAGCAAACCGGGCAAACGGAACAGGGAGGGCTCTTCCTTAATTTGTCCAATAGAAACTCTATTTTTCTTTGCGAAATGTTTTCCATTTGGAGTAAACGGTTTCTGTTGCATTCCGTTTTACAACAGGATTGGCGTAATGAATACACCCCTGGTCATACCTGCGCCATGTTTGGACCCGGAGGCCTCCCTGTCAGCTTTGGACTTCTTCTTCTTGGAACCTCCTGACTCGGAGGCTGCAGGTCTCTTCTCAACAGTGGGCTGAGAGAGAGCCCTCTTCTTAAAGAGCTCCCGCTCTCTCAACAAGGCTGGGTCCATCCTGATAACGCCACAACACAACATTACAACGTTAGACGCTAGCTACAGAAAGACAAAACATATACCTGAAGGCAACACAAAGTTAGAGTTGGGTCCATCCTATAAGTCAACATAGCAGCATTATTAGCTACACAAAGACTAAATCTAGCTGAAGTAAACACAAACAAATAAAGTTAGTTAAAAAAAAACATGCACAAAGTTGTTACACTTCTCAGTAGATATATGGGCTGAGCAACGAGCAACCTATTCTTTATTGAAGTCAACGGTTCAGACCTAGTTTGGGTGTTCACATACCATAAAGCTTTTTATAATGTTCACACATTTAACATAGCCAGTTAGGTTTACGTGGCTAATAATGGTTTCACGCTTGCGTTGCCACTCTCTGATACCTAACTAGCAAGTTGTCTGACACTTCTACCAGTAAATCTAAGTGACATCACATCTTATGAGTGACAAAAAAATACAACTGAAAGATGTATATTAGCTTGCTAGTTACTAGAGTATGAAAAATGTTTGCATTCACTAAAACTGTAAGTCGCTCTGGATAAGAGCGTCTGCTAAATGACTAAAATATAAAAATGTAAAATGTAGGAAAAAAGCAAGTAAGCTAGCTAGCTAGATAGCTTTTTGGGTTAGCTAGCATTTAAGCTAATTTAGCTAGCTTGATTATTTCTGGTTACCTTTTTTCTTCAAATGTCTAATCCCCTCTTTTGGATAAACAAATATTTAAACATTTACTAGAAACACACGTTCATTAACCGTTCTTTTGGGACACTTATGCGCTAGCTATTTTGTGCTTTTGATGTTTTATTCTCAAGCTAACGTTAGCTAGCTTCTTGTCATCGTGCATTCTCTGACTTCCGCTGTTAGTTCGATTTCTCCGTACTCGACAGCTGATCGTTTAGGTGCGTTCCATCCGGCCTAGCAGAGCTACGAAAACAGGATTGCCATGTCCGCGGGTTTCCAGAAATTGGACTACTTTGAATACGATGTCGCGGGTTGAAAATGTATTGGTCGAGGGTTTTTGGGCTACTTCTAAATTGCACATCGGCCGCAATTGCATTTCTCTTAAAAAAATATATATATATATATAAATAATGTATATATTTCACTGTGACCTGCTGCTGCTGACTATCAGGCAGTGAGGCAGGCTGTTGCTGAGTAGGTGAGTGTGGGGAGGCGTGTGTGTTGAGAGAGCGATGCATCTATTTCCAACACTTTCTCAATAAAACATATTAACGCGCTAAAACTGATGCGCATCAAGAAATAACAGTTACAAAGCACTGGAAAACGACTTTAGGCGCACTAGCACGAAAGCGCATTAGATACATTCGCTCAGAGGTGGTTTAAACTGTATTCTAATGTGGACTTTACTTATGGAAAACTGTATCAAGCAAAGGGTTTTACATATACTCAGTGCTTGGGTTTGGAGCGCTGCACAAGTGGAAATTTTAAATGAAAGTTATGGGAAAAAGTCCTAAACGAAACTGACATTAAATGTGGAGAATGAAACATTTGCATCTGTTGGTCATCAAGTAGCCTATTAATTGATATGCCATTCTAGGCTACTGTAGCCTTCTATTTGATACAATAAATATATTGAAATGACGATATCACTGGAGTCATTGCAAATCAATTTGTGCCACTTGTGTAGCCTACCTGGAGCTGGCAATCGGATTGACTAAATAGCCTGTAACAGTTTGTTGTTGCTGTAGCCTTGTGTTATTATGCAATTATTAATGGCCATGTTTACTCTGTCAATTTGAACTAACCAATCTGCTAAATCGTTCAGTTTACATCTTGCCTACATTTTGCCCAGGCTACTATCTGAAATTAGATGTAGGCCTGTCGGGGGCTATAGGCTACCTGCATCTAGCTAAGTCAACCATGGCAAAGTTGAATTAGCCTACAATCCTAAACCCAGATTTTAGTCAGGGACATATGCCTATTGAAAAGACAAGTCAAATTCCCAAATATGCCATTTATAAAGGTTTGTAGGCTTCACATCTGGCACATAGGCCTAGTAACGCACAATTTCCAGAAGATAGGCAAAAAAAAAAATTCTAGTTTGTCCAAGTGTTTCTTGCTCAGAGATTTCGAGATCCTCTGTCCAACTTTCAATGTCAACTCTCCTGTCGGATTGATCTATAGTTATGCACATGTGCAAAAGTGATTTATTTACAATTATAGCAGTCAAACGAGTTAAATCGACGTCCGTTGATGGGAAATGATCTGGCGAGTTTAATAAAGGCAAATCATATTTTATCTTGCGATATATTCAAATTCCTTTATTATGTCACATTTGCTCGCAATAATAATTATTTTGATCGAAAAACGAATTTTGCTTCTTATTTCGTCGTTACAAGTTATGTTGATATTCCTTAGCTAATTCGCTTGATAACATTATGGGAAAAGGGTTTATTGGATAAATATGGCAACTCCTCTCTTGCTCTGATAACATTTTGCGGCTAGTATTCAGGACCTTGTGTGTGGGTTTTGATTCGTCTTTTCGCTTTAAATTTATGCTAGACATGGCAACCTGACCAAAAGCTCTCACTGCCACATCGATTTTTACACAAACAACGATTCTGAACCAACCATTAATTCATACATTGTTGTGCCCCTGGCCTGAGAGGATGGAAGTTCAATATGTAGCTAGATGTAGAAGGCTAATGTTAACTAGCTAACGTTGCCATGAATGGAAGCTTGGCTAGCGAGCAAGGATTTTAGCCAGATAGCCTAGGACAACAACAAATAAAAGCGGGTACTGTATGACAGACCGTTTCATCAACATGAAAGAGAGGAGGATGGCATTGCGTTTCTCTACAAGTAGGGTGAGTCAACATGTTTTTTCTACTTGCACGAACGCACACACACACACACACACATATCAGAACCATGGACATGGCTTCCCCAGTGATTTTACACACCCACCGCTACTGGAAATCGCACAGATTCGCACTCATCAGGAGTGGATTCACGTGCAGCACAGTTATCTAATCGTACTTTGACCCTCCTCGCTCCCACTAGCATGTAAAAAAAAAAAAAAGTGGTATCGGAAGTGTTATGGAAAGAGTAAAAATAAAGAAAAAACGCAAAGGCACATCTTCGGGCGGTGGGGACTGGGAGGCAAGGGAGAAAAACATCAAAATGTCACAGCCAGAAAGGCATTACGCGGTGTTTTTCCTAGCAGTGAATGCTTTGCTGGTTGCCATTTGCGTGGCCGAAGTCCCCTGTAAGTAAAATTATGAATAGCTAATTAAATCCATCCGTGCTAGTTTAAAAAAAAAAAAACTCACAGGGCTAGTTAAACGTTCGCTAGCAAGCTAAACAATATGAAAACTCACTCTTTATATGAAACAAGTCATCGCCACAAATAATTGAAATCACTAAATTTGGTGGTTGCACTTCCTCGTTTGGTCGTAAGTAGCGACAGACATATTTGGTAGTGACAAGGGTAACTAGCCACATTAATATTTGTGTTGTGCTGTAGCTAATGCTAACTTGGGAATCTGCTATCAACTTCAATGGTGTGTAGTTAACGTTACCTAGGCCAATGTCAGCCACAAAAAAACGCTGGTTTAGCTAACCGCCCTGTATCACAGCAACGTTTAAACTTCCCGGCTCCTCGGGGCTTTTATTTCAGTTCTTGGAGAAGCGGATTAATACATCACATGACATCGGAGTGTGATAGCCGTAATGTCAGCCCCCAGCCCCAGCCCCCAGCCCCCAGCCCCCAGCCCCCAGCCCCAGCCCCCAGCCCCCAGCCCCCAGCCCCCAGCCCCCAGCCTAGCTCACATGCCTCCCTCCCTCCCTCACAATGCTATTGTGATTCAGTAACTAGCAGCAGTCTGAAGGCTAGGGCTGTTGACTTTTGAGGCTAATCTTGGCTAGCTAGTTACCCGACCGCACCAGATCATATTGGTTAGGGGGCTGACGACGTCTTCTTCGTGGTAAGCACTGTGCCTGCCAAATGAGGACAATGGTATTTGAAGGATAGTCTAGAGTAGAGGAAGAATACAACAGGAGTTCTTATTCAAGGTAAACGGTTGTCAACAACGAGAAGAGTAGTAGACGCTAAGCAGCTACTGTAATGTAGCTGCATTGTTGGACTATTGCACACGGTCTATCTAGACTAGGAATGTATGATCACAAGGCCTGGCTTTTTAAGTGTGTGTGCGTAAATATAAGACTATTTACACTACTGCTCATCAGACAGTGTGCTACTATTCTTATCAGATCTGTGGTGTCTCTCGCGCTCTCTCTCTGTCTGTCTGTCTGTCTGTTCCCCAGTATGCCACACTCGGAGGAAGGCTACAGTACTGAAGATGGACGAAGCCTCTCTCACTGTCAACAATGAGCTGGACACTGAGATGGTCGTGAGCTGGCTATCAGACCACTGCTATCAGGTAAGACTGACCACACAGACACTGCTGTACCTCACCTCACCACACACTGACCTTTACTGCTGTACCTCACCTCACCACACACTGACCTTTACTGCTGTACCACCTTACCACACACTGACCTTTACTGCTGTACCTCACCTCACCACACACTGACCTTTACTGCTGTACCTCACCTCACCACACACTGACCTTTACTGCTGTACCTCACCTCACCTCACACTGACCTTTCCTACTGCTGTACCTCACCTCACCACACACTGACCTTTACTGCTGTACCTTACCACACACTGACCTTTACTGCTGTACCTCACCTCACCACACACTGACCTTTACTGCTGTACCTCACCTCACCACACACTGACCTTTACTGCTGTACCTCACCTCAACCACCACCACTGACCTTTTACTGCTGTTACCTACACCTACCAACAACTGAACCATTTACTGCTGTCCCTTCCACCTCACCACACCCCTGACCTTTACTGCTCTAACATCACCTCACCACACACTGCTTTATGCTTACTCACCTCACCCTTCCCACTGACTTACTGCTGTACCTCACTCACCCACTGACCTTATGCTGTACCTCACCAGCACACTGGACCTTACGGCTGATACCTCACCTACCACTGACCTTTACTGCTGTACCCACCTCACCACACCTGACTTACTGCTGTACCTCACCACCCACACGACCTTGAGCTGCTGTACCTCAGACCACACTGACCTTAGCTGTACCTCACCTCACACACAACTGACCTTCTGCTGTACCTCACCACTATCACGACTTTACTGCTGTCTCACCTACCACACTTGACCTTACTGTGTACCTCACTCACACACACTGACCTTACTGCTGTACTCACCTCACCACACACGACCTGTATGCTGTACTCACCTTGACCCAACTGACTTTATGCGATCATAAAATGACCTTCGTGTCTACACTTGACCAGACTGTTTACTCATTACTGCACCTCAGCACACACTGACTTACATGTGTATCTCACCTCACACTGACCTTTACTGCTGTACCTCACCTCACCACACACTGTTGTTGTCATATTTCCCCTGTGCTCCAGTGTGTGTACCAGCCCCTGGGTGTGGTGCCAGCAGGCCCTGGACCAGGCGTGCCCAGCTCAGTGGACTTGACCGTGGGCACACAGCACGGCATCACCCTGCAGCTCAACAGCAGCCCCATCAGCCTGGAGCTCTGCACGTAAGGAACCACCTATTAACCCAACCAACTACCAACCTTGGCCCTGTGTCCAGACCCTATTCCCTATATAGTGCACTACTTTTGACCAGGGCTCTACAAAAGTAGTGCACTATAAAGGGAGAAGGATGTCATTTGGGACACACACTTTATTGCCGATCTGAAAGTATTGGACCTCCGTGTCTACAGTTAGATCCTGGACTGTGTATAACTCAATTAAAATGCAATATATAGGAAGTACTGTACATTGTATTTATACAGACATTACACTCACTGTAAGGAGATTCCTCTCTCCTCCCCAGGGTCCATTTCCACTTTTGGGAGCATGGTAACTACTCTCTGTGGGTCAAGAACCTGAACGACTCCTCAGTGGTCAACTGTTCCGTGATCACTGACACAGAACCGGTCAACAGCTACCTGCGTGAGCACACTAACACACACACACACACACACACACACACTTTTTATGTTTTGTGCTCTCAAACCATCGTTTTGAACAATGAAATGCCTTTCTGCCCTTAAAGCCATCATGGTGGCCTTTCTGTTGTTCACGGGACTGGCTATAGCGTCTGCTATCGGAGGCACAATCATGGGGTAGGTTCTGATTATTTTAGATAACATGAACACAGGATTCCATTTACTGTGTATGTGACCGTAAGTCATCCCTTTGTCTTGAGCCTGCCATTGCATTTTGTGGCGATTATCAGAGGCTTCTCCTAATCGATTGGTTATGTCTTGTCTGGTCCAGGCTGGACGTGGTGAAGAATCTGATGTTCCGATTGGGCAGTTCCATGGAAACTGAGAGGCTCATCAACTCAGTGAGTCTTTGTGTTCATTCTCCAGACTTAGCTCTAGAACAGTGGTCACTACAGTTGATCAGTGGTCACTACGGTTGATCAGTGGTCACTACGGTTGAGCAGTGGTCACTACGGTTGAGCAGTGGTCACTACGGTTGATCAGTGGTCACTACGGTTGATCAGTGGTCACTACGGTTGATCAGTGGTCACTACGGTTGAGCAGTGGTCACTACGGTTGAGCAGTGGTCACTACGGTTGATCAGTGGTCACTACGGTTGATCAGTGGTCACTACGGTTGAGCAGTGGTCACTACGGTTGAGCAGTGGTCACTACGGTTGACCAGTGGTCACTACGGTTGAGCAGTGGTCACTACGGTTGAGCAGTGGTCACTACGGTTGAGCAGTGGTCACTACGGTTGATCAGTGGTCTCTATGGTTGATCAGTGGTCACTACGGTTGAGCAGTGGTCACTACGGTTGAGCAGTGGTCACTACGGTTGAGCAGTGGTCACTACGGTTGAGGGGAGTTTTAGTGTTCTTCTGATGGGTTCAGAGTTATAGTTTCTTCTTAACATGGCTGAACTATGCGCCTAAATGTTCACTAACCTTGGTCCTGGAGAGCTAATACTATACAGGGTGTGCAAGCTTTTGTTCCAGCCCAGCACTAACACCTTTTTGACTTCCTCTCCTCTCTTCTCCTAGGAGCTGGGGTTTCCAGGCAGGACGGTGGAGACAGCCACAGACACCATACTCCCCACCCCCGCCACCCCCAGCCGGAGGCTCCGATCCCTGGACACTTTCAGAGGGTTGTCCCTGGTCATCATGGTGTTTGTGAACTACGGAGGAGGGAGGTACTGGTTCTTCAGACACGAGAGCTGGAACGGTGAGTCCACCATTCTGAATGGGAAAATATGACATGCACATTTTCTAGTGGTGTTTAGCATGTCCTGGAGATCAAATAATATGTATATCAAAAAATGAAAGACTGCATTGTTAAAATGACAATATTTCCCCCCTCTTCACAGGACTCACAGTTGCTGATTTGGTCTTTCCCTGGTAATATCAGTTTTTATATTTTTAATTTAAGGACAAAATGTATTGGCATTTTATTGAGGAAATCTAACGTTGCTCCATAGGAGGAAACTGTGTGCCTCTATTGAAGTCTCTCTCTGTCTCTCCCAGGTTTGTGTTCATCATGGGTACATCTATAACCCTGTCCGTCAGCTCAGCCCTGCGGTGTGGAATGTCACGTTTCTCTCTCTTCACCAAGGCAGTCTGGAGGAGTATTCAGCTCTTCCTCATCGGACTCCTCATCATCAACCCAAACTACTGCCAGGGACCACGTGAGGACAGAGACACAGAGACACAGACACGGAGACGCAGAGACACACACAGACACGGAGACGCAGAGACACACAGACACGGAGACGCAGAGAGAAACACAGACACGGAGACGCAGAGAGACACACACACAGACACGGAGACGCAGAGAGACACACACACAGACACGGAGACACAGAGAGACACACAGACACGGAGACGCAGAGAGACACACAGACACGGAGACGCAGAGAGACACACACAGACACAGAGAGACACACAGACACGGAGACGTAGAGAGACACACACAGACACGGAGACGCAGAGAGACACACACAGACACGGAGACGCAGAGAGACACACAGACACGGAGACGCAGAGAGACACACAGACACGGAGACGCAGAGAGACACACAGACACGGAGACGCAGAGAGAACACAGACACGGAGACGCAGAGAGACACACAGACACGGAGACGCAGAGAGACACACAGACACGGAGACGCAGAGAGACACACAGACACGGAGACGCAGAGAGACACACAGACACGGAGACGCAGAGAGACACACAGACACGGAGACGCAGAGACACACAGACACGGAGACGCAGAGAGACACACAGACACACACGTGCTCACTCCCTTACAATGTTTCACTCTAATCTGTGTGTGTGTGTGTGTGTGTGTGTGTGTGTGTGTGTGTGTACTACAGTATCATGGGACACCCTGCGTATCCCTGGTGTGCTCCAGCGTCTGGCCTTCTCCTACCTGGTGGTGGCCTCTCTGGACCTCTGTGTGGCCAGGAACAGCCTGGACAACCTACCCGTGGTCAGCCTCACAATGCATCTTATTACACTCACACAACTACATATACAATGACTAGGATCTCTGTGAATAAACTGTTATAACACAAATAACCATGTTATAACCATGTCTGGATCTGTGTGTGTGGTCAGACACCGCCTGGACAACCTAACCATGGTCAGAACATCCTTATGACCACGCCCCATGGTCAGAACATCCTTATGACCACGCCCCATGGTCAGAACATCCTTATGACCACGCCCCATGGTCAGAACATCCTTATGACCACGCCCCATGGTCAGAACATCCTTATGACCACGCCCCATGGTCAGAACATCCTTATGACCACGCCCCATGGTCAGAACATCCTTATGACCACACCCCATGGTCAGAACATCCTCATGACCATGCCCCATGGTCAGAACATCCTTATGACCACGCCCCATGGTCAGAACATCCTTATGACCACGCCCATGGTCAGAACATCCTTATGACCACGCCCCATGGTCAGAACATCCTCATGACCACGCCCCATGGTCAGAACATCCTTATGACCACGCCCATGGTCAGAAACATCCTTATGACCACGCCCCATGGTCAGAACATCCTTATGACCACGCCCCATGGTCAGAACATCCTTATGACCACGCCCCATGGTCAGAACATCCTTATGACCACGCCCCATGGTCAGAACATCCTTATGACCACGCCCCATGGTCAGAACATCCTTATGACCACGCCCCATGGTCAGAATTTACAGTTTAGTCATTTAGCAGACACTCTTATCCAGAGCGACTTACAGTTAGTGAGTGCATACATTTTCATACTGCATTATGACCACGCCCCATGGTCAGAACAGCCTTATGACCACGCCCCATGGTCAGAACATCCTTATGACCACGCCCCATGGTCAGAACAGCCTTATGACCACGCCCCATGGTCAGAACAGCCTTATGACCACGCCCCATGGTCAGAACATCCTTATGACCACGCCCCATGGTCAGAACATCCTTATGACCATGTTATTACACTCATAATGTAATATATGTCACAATAATGTCATATAAAAATGGATCTCCAAATATCTGCCATAACGCTCGCATTGAGTACGGTTACAGTCAGATTCATATAATAGTTTGATTGAAGCGTGCTTAGCAAGGAGATTTCCCTAATAATCCTGTTGACATGGACTCATCTGAAATCAGGATACCTGATGGGACTTTGATAAACGCAGAAAAAATCAGCAATAGAAAATAAACATTCTACCACAGTGACTGTCACGCCCTGGCTCGGGGGACTCTCGTATGTTGAGCCAGGGTGTTAGTTTCTATGTTTTGTTGTGGGTTCTAGGTTATTGTATTTCTTTGTTTGAGTGACTCCCAATCAGAGGTAACGAGTGTCAGCTGTTGGCTCGTTGTCTCTGATTGGGAGCCATATTTAACTATCTGTCTTTCACGTTGTGTTGGTGGTTTCTTGTTCATTTCGGTTCGTGTTAAACCGTAGACGTCACGTTTTCGTTTGTGTTTTTGATCGTGTGATCATTTATAGTAATAAAATATGTTCACCTTCAACGCTGCGCATTGGTCCTCTATGTTAGACGATCGTGACAGTGACCATGTTATTTTTGGGAAGCCTATTTGATTCTGAGTTTGTACATCTAAAGTTTGTATGTGAAAACTATTTCTAAAATGCATATTTTAAGGTTTTTCTGAACTCACTTCACTCGCGCATAACAGGGAGGCTCTCGGCTGGTGCTGCCACATGCGCAGATCAAATACACCGCTGGAACGCCGGTTTAGGCTGTTTACACGTCCTAATCATGTCTTACCTGGTTAAATAAAGGTGAAATAAAAAAAATTAAAAGATCGCTCAGAAGAGCAGGCGTGTGCTTACTTCCATTCTGACCTTTTTTACGCTGAGTAAGGTGTTTACATGACTATTGTATAATCGGCCTACTGCCATAATCAGTTTAATATCTAATTATTGGTGTGCATACTCATTGTCACATAACCATCTTCTGCCACTCAACATTAGCTAACTGTGACATTGACTGTTCTAGATGTATGGGAGAGATTGTTTCGGGAGAGATTGTTTCCAGACAGAATTCACCCTATTCCAATTCCGTTGAATCACTGCATTCTATTTCACTTGGTGTTCATGTTGATCCGGACTCATTGCCTGCTGGTCACTATTGTTTCCATAGTGATGAAAACCTTTTGTTTTTATTTTGGTCTTCTTTTTTTTATTTTTACCAAGGATGCTTGGTGGTACTCTGCTCGTGAGTTCCTGCTCTACTGGCCAGCCTGGCTGTGTGTGGTCGTCTTGGAAACCGTGTGGCTCTGTCTCACCTTCCTGCTCCCTGTGCCTGACTGCCCAAGGTGAGTTAAGAGAGAAGACTGTGGCCGTGAACACATTGAGACAATACTGTTTCCATGGGAGTCATCTGTTGCAGGGTGAATGACAACCGAGATGGATTTTCCGACGTATGCAACTGGTCCGACCAATAGTTGACTTCAGTTGTACTTTTGACGGACAGAAACAGGACAATGATGTAGTTCATATATGATTTAATCCATGTCCATGATTCTGAGTGTGGCTGTAGGTGATGGGAGATGGCGAACACCTGACCTGACTCAAATCATCTACTAATCATCGTCTCTCTCTACTTAGTGGTTATTTGGGCCCGGGTGGTGTTGGGGACATGGGCCAGTACCCTAACTGCACCGGGGGAGCAGCAGGATATGTAGACCGGTGGCTACTGGGAGAGAACCACATCTACCAAACACCCTCCTCACGGGTCAGTTAACGCTGACTTGTTTCAGGCAACAAGAGCAGAAGACTTTCTGCAGGCATTTTTTTTTTACGTAACGGGGTGTGTTCATTTTTCAGGTGATCTACAAGTCTCACATGCCCTTTGACCCAGAGGGAGTTCTAGGCAGCATCAACTCTGTCCTCATTGCTTTCCTGGGACTACAGGTCAGTGGAATTCTCTCTGTCTCTCTCCTGTCTCTCTGTCTCCTCTCTCTCTCTCCTCTCCGCTCTCTCTCCTGTCTATCTCTGTCTCTCTCTCTCTGCTGTCTCTCTCTGTCTCGCTTTCTCTCTGCTCTCCTCTATCTGACTCTCTCTCTCGTAAGGAAACGATCTCTCTTCTCCTCTCTCTCTCGTCTCCTCTCTCTTCTCTCTCTCTCATATCTACTCTCTCTCTAAATCTCGTTTCCTTCTCGTTGTCTCTTATCTTCTCTCTCTCTTGTTCTGTTTCTGCTTCTCTTCCTCCACTCTCGTTCTCTGTATCTCGTCTTCTACTCTCTTCTCGTCTCCTCTCTTCCGTCTCTTGCTACTCTCTCTCTCTCTCTCTCTCTCTATCCTCATCGTTCTTCCGTTGTCCTTATCTTTCCAGTTGTTCTGTTTCTTTCTACACCACCAGACCTATGAGTGTAATTGCAGACATGGGGTTGCATGTTTCTGCTCAGCCTAACTTAATGGATCAGTATAATGTAATACATGTGATTCCCTTTGAGGGTCCATTTTGTCCCCTACATCTGTATCCAGGCAGGGAAGATTCTCCTCCACTACAAGGATCAGCATTCCAGTATAATGGCCCGGTTCCTCATTTGGAGCCTCGTACTGGTAAGATCATCATATTGCTGTTTGTCATTACTGTGTTAGCCTTGGTATATAGCCTTGGTATATCATATAGCCTTGGTATATCATATAGCCTTGGTATTTCATATAGCCTTGGTATTTCATATAGCCTTGGTATATCATTTAGCCTTGGTATATCATTTAGCCTTGGTATATCATTTAGCCTTGGTATATCATATAGCTTTGGTATTTCATATAGCCTTGGTATTTAACCTTGGTATATCATATAGCCTTGGTATTTAGCCTTGGTATATCATATTGCCTTGGTATATAACCTTGGTATTTAGCCTTGGTATATCATATAGCCTTTGTAAATCATATAGCCTTGGTATTAGCCTTGGTATATCATATAGCCTTGGTATTTAGCCTTGGTATATCATATAGCCTTGGTATTTAGCCTTGGTATATCATATAGCCTTGGTATATCATATAGCCTTGGTATATCACATAGCCTTGGTATATCATATAGCCTTGGTATATCACATAGCCTTGGTATATCATATAGCCTTGGTATATCATATAGCCTTGGTATATAGCCTTGGTATATCATATAGCCTTGGTATATTGCATATTTTATCAGACTAAACCTCTCCATATGTCTTCATATGACAACACTGAGACATACAGTGCCTTCAGAAACTATTCAGACCCTTTGACTTTTTCCACATTTTGTTACGTTACAGCCTTATTGAAGAATCCTCATCGATCTACACACAATACCCCATAATGAGGAAGCGAAAACAGGTTTTTTAGAAATGTTTGCATATTTATAAACAATAAAAAAACAGAAATACCTTATTTACATAAGTATTCAGACCCTTTGCTATGAGAAATTGAGCTCAGGTGCATCCTGTTTCCATTGATCATCCTTGAGGTCTTTCTACAACTTGATTGGACTCCACCTGTGGTAAATTGTCACGATCGTCATAATGAGTAAACCAAGGCGCAGCGTGATATGCGTACATCTTCTTTATTAAGTACACCACGAACAAAAAACAAAACAACAAAACGAAACGTGAAGTCCTCGGTCATACACAAACCTACACGGAACAAGATCCCACGAATCACAAGTGCACAAACAGCTGCCTTAGTATGGTTCCCAATCAGAGACAACAAGCAACAGCTGATTCTCGTTGCCTCTGATTGAGAACCACCCCGGCCAACATAGAAACACATCACCTAGAATATGAACATAGAAAACGAAACACAGACACTACACAACGAATCTATCACCCTGGCTCAACATACAAGAGTCCCCAGAGCCAGGGCGTGACATAAATTCAATTGATTGGACATGATTTGGAAAGTCACACACCTGTCTATATAAGGTCCCACAGTTGACAGTGCATGTCAGAGCAAAAACCAAGCCATGAGGTCGAAGGAATTGTCGGTAGAGCCCCGAGACAGGATTGTGTCGAGGCACAGATCTGGGGAAGGGTAGCAAAACATTTCTGCAGCATTGAAGGTCCCCAAGGACACAGTGGCCTCCATCATTCTTAAATGGAAGAAGTTTGGAACCACCAAGACTCTTCCTGAGCAATCGGGGGAGAAGGGCTTTGGTCAGGGAGGTGACCAAGAACCCGATGGTCACACTGACAGAGCTCTAGAGTTCCTCTGTGGAGATGGGAGAACCTTCTAGAAGGACAACCATCTCTGCAGCACTCCACCAATCAGGCCTTTATGGTAGAGTGGCCAGACGGCAGCCACTCCTCAGTAAAAGGCACATGACAGCCCGCTTGGAGTTTGCCAAAAGGCCCCTAAAGACTCTCAGACCATGAGAAACAAGATTCCCAGGTCTGATGAAACCAAGATTGAACTCGTTTGCCTGAATGCCAAGCATCACATCTGGAGGAAACCTGGCAACATCCCTACGGTGAAGCATGGTGGTGGCAGCATCATGCTGTGGGGATGTTTTTCAGCGGCATGGACTGGGAGACCAGTCAGGATCGAGGCAAAGATGAACGGAGCAAAGTACAGAGATATCCTTGATGAAAACCTGCTCCAGAGCGCTCAGGACCTCAGACTGGGGCGAAGGTTCACCTTCCAACAGGACAACGACCCTAAGTACACAGCCAAGACAACACAGGAGTGGCTTTGGGACAAGTGTCTGAATGTCCTTTAGTGGCCCAGCCAGAGCCCGGACTTGAACCCGATCGAACATCTCTGGAGAGACCTGAAAATAACTGTGCAGCGACGCTCCTCATCCAACCTGACAGAGCTTGAGAGGATCTGCAGAGAAGAATGGGAGAAACTCCCCAAATACAGGTGTGCCAAGCTTGTAGCGTCATACCCAAGAAGACTCGAGGCTGTAATCGCTGAGTAAAAAGGACTGAGAAAGGGTCTGAATACTTATGTAAATGTGATATTTTATTTATTTTTTTATAAACTTGCAAAAATTCTAAATACCTGTTTTCACTTTGTCATTCTGGGGTATTGTGTGTAGATTGATGAGGGAAAAAAAACGACTTCATCAATTTTAGAATAAGGCTGTAACGTAACAAAATGTGGAAAAAGTCAAGGGGTCTGAGTACTTTGCGAATGCACTGTAGTAGCATAGTATTTCTGTGTTCACCATGCATGTCTTTTCTTTGTCAGCTTGATGTATCTAAATGTCTGTATCTTTCCAGGGAATCGTATCAGCCATTCTGACCAAATGTTCACTAAATGAAGGCTTCATCCCCATCAACAAGAATCTATGGTGAGGAGACCAGACCACTTATAATGCAGTTTAACACTCTCAGGGCCAGTTTCCTGGACACAGATTGAGCCTAGTCCTGGACTAAAGAGCACTTTGAATGGAGACTTTTCATTGAGCATGTTTCTTAGTCCAGGACTAGTTTTAAGCTAATCTGTGTGCGGGAAACTGGCCCTTGATATTTCATAGTAGGGCCGGGACGATACAGGTATCACGATACTCGTTAGTATCGTGGCAAGGAAACAGAACACAAAGCAGATTTAACTTCTTTAGGAAAACAGCCCTGATGTTGAAAACAAACCACATTATGTTGTCATCCAGAGTCACATTTATTTATTTTCTAAGCTAAAGCACAATATTTTACATCCAGCAGGTTATTAAAGCACCAAAACAGTTTGATTTACTTATCTGGCGATACTGGTATCATCACTGCCCTAGTTTATAGTGTATTGTAGAATAATCAACCTCCTGAGTTGTCTGTCTGCCCGTCTGTCTGCCTGTCTGTCTGTCTGTCTGTCTGCCCTTCTGCCCGTCTGTCTGTCTGCCCGTCTGTCTGTCTGCCCGTCTGTCTGCCCGTCTGTCTGTCTGTCTGTGTCTGTCTGTCTGTCTGTCTGCCTGTCTGCCTGTCTGTCTGTCTGTCTGCCCGTCTGTCTGTCCGTCTGTCTGTCTGTCAGGTCTCTATCCTACGTGACCACCCTGGCGTGTTTTGCCTTCGTGGTTCTGGTGATGGTCTACTACACAGTAGATGTGAAGAGGTGGTGGTCTGGAGCCCCTTTCTATTACCCTGGTGAGAACTACTTTGTGTCAGCAGCTCTGCTGTGTACATTTTATATTTCAATCTGCAATGCATCCATCTGCCACAATCCCTATTCTGCATGACAGAAGAATCACGTATGTTCTACGCTATACTTGTCTAGCTAAATGTTATGCAACTCCTGATCAAGCCCTCTGGACCCCTGTGCTCTAACCTGACCTTTGACCCTTCCAAGGTATGAACTCCATCCTGGTGTACGTGGGCCACGAGGTCCTGGAGGAGTACTTCCCGTTCCGTTGGCGCATGGCCAACAGCCAATCCCACGCAGAGCACCTGACCCAGAACCTGTTGGCCACTTCCTGCTGGGTTCTCATCTCCTTCCTGCTGTACAGGAAGAAGATCTTCTGGAAGATCTAGAGGGCCAGGACACATTTCGATAGTCTTTCCTCAAGTCCTCTAAAGATTTGGGGGAAGATCTAAGGGGCCGGGCTGCATCTCATAAGTAGTTTCAAGTCTTTCTGAAGGATCTACTCTCCTCAATTCCTTGTGTCCTGTAACCAACGATCCACTGGGAGACGTAGAGCTGGTCTGTATCTCAATAGTCTTTCCCCGATTCCTTGTGTCCCAGAAGATCTTTGGCTGGGTTGCATTTCACCTGTCTTTCATCTATCCCTTGTATCCTTTCTCCAGCATCCTTTTAAAAAGCGTAAAGCGTTTCCTCTCCTTGTTTCCTTTCCTCGTGTCCTCTCCTCGCTTGACGCTGACGTTTTGAGAAGGGAACATCATCACTCAGGAAAAGATCTGGGATTGTAAACAGGAGATGAGGAAACTCAAGAAACCGTGATGACCATTTCCAGCTCCTGTCCTGGATACAATGCTACAGGCTCTGGTCTACTCTACACTTTCGTTATGGACATAGTTCAGAGGTCACTGGGATGTGTGTGACCTCCATGTGGGATCAAATTGGACTGTACTAAAAAAAAAAAGGACTTTACAGCCAAACCGGTATTGAATACCATTGGAAAATACAAATGTGTTGATTCTCGTACGTGCATGTGCCAGCGCTTGCTTTCTTGGGACAAACAACCGATGCCAGACAGTTGAAATAACTTGTGCTAATTAATGAGTTCAACCAACTGACATTGTCTTTATTTTTTTTATTGCCAAAGTCATCAAGGAAATGAATGATAGATGAACCAACCGCCAACTAACTGTATGTGCACATGTCATGGGTCGTTCCACAAATTCAGTGCCTTTTGAGAAGTGTAACTTGTTCAAATGAAACGTTTGATTTCACCTCATTTTAACATTCCGTCATAAAGAGCACATATTCAACTTCATAACACGTTTTCCCCATCTCAAAACAATTACTGTAGTACGTGCCTATTTAGTGGCAAATAAAGTAACAGGGTTGACCGTAACAGGTTTGACGATTTCATCGTAAATCTGCCATAAATCCCATTGTGATGGGGAATGAAAGCTTGTGTGCAACAGGGAGTGGCAATTAAATGCAAGCTTCACCCCAAAAAATTTTATTGTTAAAACATTTCTAGCCTGTCTGTGTAACAGGGTTGATGTGTTGTGTTCGACATGCTCAGTTTTCCACCACAAAACACCAGGAAATGGCCAGAAAGAGTAGAACCAGCTCAGCTGCTTTTACACTATAATTTGACTATTAGATGTTCAATGTTTTTTTTGTGTGTGTGTTTGTTTTAATGAATCAATTTACCATATTAAAATGAGAGTTCAGTTTACGTAACAGGGTTGACTTTAAAATGAGGGACAGACGTAATTCAATCACTAAATCACATGAAATGACTTAACTGGGGCTTTACAATGATGGTGAAAACTTGGAGACATTTTGGGGTTAAGTGGGTTAAAATCTTCCCACAAGTCACAGAGGGGGCATGAAGGGACATGTCCAAAATGCAGAATTTTGGCACTTTAGCAAGTCTTTATTCGTATTAAAAATCTGATTTGATTTAATTTTCCATGTGGTCTATATTAAAGGGCACTTCATTTAATATAGCAGGCTTTTTAAATTCAACATTGGTGCACAATTTCTACTTAAAATATCAAAGGGATGCAAAATAAAATGTCTTTTGTGGAACGACCCTCATATCAACACACAGCATTGTGCCAAAACACTACAGAAGAAGATATACTAAGATTGAGTCCCAAATGGCACCCTATTCCCTATATAGTGCACTACTTTTAACTAGAGTCCTATGGGTCCTGGTCAAAAGGAGTGTACTACATAGGGTGCCATTTGGGATGTAATATATATATATGACTTTCCTCTAGGTAATTGTCCTGTGTGATATGTAGATGAGCACAAAGAATGTCAGGAAGCAACTATTCATGCAACACTGGTGATTATACCAAATTCAGACAACTGTAAACTTCTGTTACTGTATCATACTGCATCCTTCTCCCAAGTACTAGTATTTGTGTTTAACGGTTGGCCAATTTAATTAAACTGTAAATATGAAAATATAAGCGACTAAGCTCATGCAAATAACGTGATGTGTACTTTTCATAATTGTGAAGAAATTGTTACAATAGCTTTTAAATATGACCAACGATGACCAGTAGTGTTGCTATTTGATACAGTACCAAAAAAAAACTAAAAATGAAATAAATAGGAAAATCTAGCAAAACAGCTCACTGCTGTTAATCGCTCTGGATAAGACCCACTGGGCACACACTGGTTGAATCAATGTGGTTTCCACGTCATTTCAATGAAATTACTTTGAACCAACGCGGGATAGACGTTGAATTGACGTCTGTGCCCAGTGGGGAGCGTCTGCTAAATGACTAAAATGTAAATATTTGTCCGTCCCAAATGACACCCTGTTCCAAATAATAGTGCACTACTTTTGACCAGAGCCTTATTGGCCCCGTGTCAGAAGTAGCAAGCTACACTATAGGAGGAATTGGATCATGATATGCTTTCCCTTTAGGTATTGTTTTATACATGCAAACATCCCATGTGATTCCATTAAATTATTTTATTTTAATAAAATATACTCTTACATGTGATCTGTTTGCGTATAGTCCTTGTGCCTTTTTGTTCTTACTTTACAACATTGTTTCCCCCTCGACTAGTGACCAAAGCCGTTGATTAGTTGAACCGGGTGTGTTAGTGCTGGGCTGGAACAAAAATGTGCACACCCAGGGGGATTTATTGAGAATCACTGGGCTTCTATGTTATATGTGTGCCATTTACAGGTGAATGCAATTTGTAAATAATATGAATTTTCTTAGCTTAAAGAGAAATGCTGTATAGTTTTACAGTGAGTTATGTTGTAAGCTCATCTTGAATCTAGCAAGTTGTATTCTCGGCTCACAGGGTTAACTAACTCGGTGCTCTCTAACCCTTCACTGGTGAATGCAAACCAATATCTTCACTTTATTCACTTCACTTACCTGGTTAAATAAAGGTTAAATAAAATATTTAAAAAAAAAAAAAAAAAACTTTATGAATAACATTTTATTCTATAGCTTAGGCTACAATTATGCTGTGAGCTGTATTTTGAATCAAGCAAGACTTGACTCACAGGGTTAACTAACTGTACTCTGACTCCAACCCTTCACGACCAAAGCACCCAAACCACTGCAGTTTATGACTTTAAACGCGTGGGAATCGAGTTACAGTTACAACAAAAAAAAACGAGCATAATCTCGCGATAGGTCGAGGCCAACCCCATTCTTGTCTATTGTGAGAGTTTTTCTATTCTCGCGTGACTTCGCAACTTTCCCACGCCTGTTGTTGTGGCGTCCGGCCCTCTGTCCGCCTCTCCTCCTCTTTCTACTCTCGTTTTTCTTTTCCCCCCTCCGGGTTCTGTTCGTTCTGTTGTCCCGGCGGCGTTGGGAGGAGGTTGGGATCTCGCGATTGTTGGAAAAACATTTTTTTCTTCCAGAGTTACAGTCGAAAATGGCGCCCGTTGTGACGGGGTAAGTGTTGAAATTCAGAGCAAAATGAAGGAAGAACAGTTTAAAAAGTTCACTTTGTTTGGGTAACTAGTTTCCTAACCACTTTGTTACACTCGTGTGTGTGAACGTTTTTTGTTCCCGATTGCTTTGCACGTACTTTATAAATCGGCGTCGCACTTATTGCTACGTTTGTGTCAAACGATGTTAGTACTGTGTGTAACGTTAGCTAGCCACAACGAAAAGCTAGCCAACTAACAGTAGCTAGCTAACGTTACCTAACTACCCCATTCTTCGCCAGTAATTATAGTTAACTAATTAGTTACTTATTTTAGCTACATTTTTATGGCTAACTCACCGAGCGTGAATGTGTATGCTGAGTTCAATGAAACAATGTTTTAAAATGTGTTCAATGTTACCCATTTCATTTACAAATCATGCAACGTAACAAAGACACAGTATCGCTCGCATTTGTCCGACAAAAACTGGCAACGAAGTTGCTAACTACTGATTGACACGTTCACTTGCCACCTGCAGCAGAATCCTAAGCTACTGTTTAGTTGCGAGTTGTTTTTCTTCTTTAATGGCAACACCCACCTGTTAATAATCATGATGTTTCAGATTGCTGGAATTGTGACAACTTTCTAATCTAACTAGTAAAGTTGCGCTGATAGAAAAGTAACTTTTTTTTGTTTTCTTTCACAGGAGGTTTGGTGAGCGAGCTCCACCGCAGCGCCTAACAAGGTAAGGAAACGTCCGCACCACAAGTTTCATAACTTATACATCTCATTTAAAGTGTTACATAAACAATGAGAAACATCTAGCTTCCACCTGCACAGCGTTTGCATTACTAAGGTGTAAAACCACTTATCCACATCAAATTTCTTCCACTCTATCATAAGATTTCTTCACACTCGTTTCTATCAAGGCACCCCATTCATACTGCTATAATCAATGGTGCATCTGTGACTATTCCATAGGTCCCACTGTATGAAGCCAATAAACAGCTCAAGTGTCTGAAAGCATTTGCCAATGGTGTAGACAACCATGTTATTTGACCCAGGTCTATGTATCTTTGTATATTTGTGGTATTACCTTGAGTAAGCGTTGTCTGAACGGTCTTTTCCCCCACATAGAGGCAATGAGAAACGTATGCATCAAGGGTGTATTCATGCCACCTATTCTATTGCAAAATGTTTCTTAAATGGAAGCAAGCGAAACGGGGAAGGACCTACCTGAATTTGTTCAATAGAAACTTGTTTTAGCAGAATAAATACACCCCAGTGCATCTCTAGTGGTGTTTTTTTTTTAACATGGAATAATGATTGGGCGTTGTCGACGACGAAACGTTGTCTGAAAGTTTGTTGTATGATTATGTTGAGTAAGCGTTGTCTGAACGTTGTGTGTTTCCCCCCCCCCTATAGAGAGGCTATGAGAAACTACCTGAAGGAGAGGGGAGACCAGACCGTACTCATACTACACGCTAAAGTCGCACAGAAGTCTTACGGCAATGAGAAGAGGTGTGTATGAGAGAAAGGAGGTTATTCATGGTGTCTCTGTCGTTGATAGTGTGTATTCATGGTGTCTCTGTAGTTGATAGTGTGTATTCATGTGGTCTCTGTAGCTGATAGTGTGTATTCATAGGGTCTCTGTCGTTGATAGTGTGTATTCATGGTGTCTCTGTAGCTTATAGTGTGTATTCATGGTGTCTCTGTAGTTGATAGTGTATGTATTTTCATGGTGTCTCTGTCGTTGATAGTGTGTATTCATGGTGTCTCTGTCGTTGATAGTGTGTATTCATGGGGTCTCTGTAGTTGATAGTGTGTATTCATGGTGTCTCTGTCGTTGATAGTGTGTATTCATGGTCTCTGTCGTTGATAGTGCGTATTCATGGGGTCTCTGTCGTTGATAGTGTGTATTCATGGTGTCTCTGTAGTTGATAGTGTGTATTCATGGGGTCTCTGTCGTTGATAGTGTGTATTCATGGTGTCTCTGTCGTTGATAGTGTGTATTCATGGTGTCTCTGTCGTTGATAGTGTGTATTCATGGTGTCTCTGTCGTTGATGGTGTGTATTCATGGTGTCTCTGTAGTTGATGGTGTGTATTCATGGTGTCTCTGTAGTTGATAGTGTGTTTTCATGGTGTCTCTGTCGTTGATAGTGTGTATTCATGGTGTCTCTGTAGTTGATAGTGTGTATTCATGGTGTCTCTGTAGTTGATAGTGTGTATTCATGGTGTCTCTGTCGTTGATAGTGTGTATTCATGGTGTCTCTGTAGTTGATAGTGTGTATTCATGGTGTCTCTGTAGTTGATAGTGTGTATTCATGGTGTCTCTGTAGTTGATAGTGTGTATTCATAGTGTCTCCTCCAGGTTGATTCTACCTGCCCTTGGATCTTTTGCCACCTGTGTGTGTGTGTTCATGGTGTGAATGTTGTCTCTTTTGGTTCACGTTGGTGTGTTTCTATATCAAATCAAATCAAAATTTTATTGGCCACATGCGCCGAATACAACAGGTGCAGACATTACAGTGAAATGCTTACTTACAGCCCTTAACCAACAGTGCATTTATTTTTAACAAAAAAGTAAAAATAAAACAACAACAAAAAAAGTGTTGAGGAAAAAAATAGCAGAAGTAAAATAAAATAACAGTAGGGAGGCTATATATACAGGGGGGTACCGATGCAGAGTCAATGTGCGGGGGCACCGGCTAGTTGAGGTAGTTGAAGTAATATGTACATGTGGGTAGAGTTAAAGTGACTATGCATAAATAATTAACAAGAGTAGCAGCAGCGTAAAAAGGATGGGGTGGGGGGGCAGTGCAAATAGTCCAGGTAGCCATGATTAGCTGTTCAGGAGTCTTATGGCTTGAGGGTAGAAGCCTTTTGGACCTAGACTTGGCACTCCGGTACCGCTTGCCGTGCGGTAGCAGAGAGAACAGTCTATGACTAGGGTGGCTGGAGTCTTTGACAATTTTGAGGACAATTTTGTCTTTGACAATTATATATATGTGTGTGTGTATATGTAAGGGATAATCAACGAGGGGCTATGTGTTCTCTGGAAGATAATGAACGACATGGAAGGTGTGTGCCACGATGCGCTAGCAGAACTGACCTTCCACGGCGTTGCATTATTTTCCAGAGAACACATAGAGCCCCGAGTTGATTATAACCCTTTATGCCATGGCTATAATTGAACACATCTGCCGCTAGAAATGTGTTCAACATCCACTGAAGGAGCTAGCAAGTTGACTAGATAGCTACGGTAGTTGCCGTGGTAACCAAACAAACAGACCTGCTAGTTTAGCTAACCAAACCATCAGCCCTAGCTTGACATTATGAAAATCTAATTCAACAATACCAAAAATGTTTTCAACTCAACTTTTTTGCTTTCAAAAGCAGCTCAAACAAAACATGTAAAAATGAACTATAGCTATTGAATTCAAACGTGCAATTATACTGTGCGTTATAGGGAAATAATGCACGCTCTAGAATGCCCTTCAAGCCAATCAGAAATGAGTATTCAACAATGCTATGGTATAAATGTGTATGTAAATGCACTTGCAATGAGCTACTCTTAACCAGATCTCTCTGTCCTGGAGGTGGTTCTGACCCGTCCCTGATGGGCTGTACTAACCAGATCTCTCTGTCCTGGAGGTGGTTCTGACCCGTCCCTGATGGGCTGTACTAACCAGATCTCTCTGTCCTGGAGGTGGTTCTGACCCGTCCCTGATGGGCTGTACTAACCAGATCTCTCTGTCCTGGAGGTGGTTCTGACCCGTCCCTGATGGGCTGTACTAACCAGATCTCTCTGTCCTGGAGGTGGTTCTGACCCGTCCCTGATGGGCTGTACTAACCAGATCTCTCTGTCCTGGAGGTGGTTCTGACCCGTCCCTGATGGGCTGTACTAACCAGATCTCTCTGTCCTGGAGGTGGTTCTGACCCGTCCCTGATGGGCTGTACTAACCAGATCTCTCTGTCCTGGAGGTGGTCCTGACCCGTCCCTGATGGGCTGTACTAACCAGATCTCTCTGTCCTGGAGGTGGTTCCGACCCGTCCCTGATGGGCTGTACTAACCAGATCTCTCTGTCCTGGAGGTGGTTCTGACCCGTCCCTGATGGGCTGTACTAACCAGATCTCTCTGTCCTGGAGGTGGTTCTGACCCGTCCCTGATGGGCTGTACTAACCAGATCTCTCTGTCCTGGAGGTGGTTCCGACCCGTCCCTGATGGGCTGTACTAACCAGATCTCTCTGTCCTGGAGGTGGTTCTGACCCGTCCCTGATGGGCTGTACTAACCAGATCTCTCTGTCCTGGAGGTGGTTCTGACCCGTCCCTGATGGGCTGTACTAACCAGATCTCTCTGTCCTGGAGGTGGTTCTGACCCGTCCCTGATGGGCTGTACTAACCATATCGCTCTGTCCTGGAGGTGGTTCTGACCCGTCCCTGATGGGCTGTACTAACCAGATCTCTCTGTCCTGGAGGTTGTTCTGACCCGTCCCTGATGGGCTGTACTAACCAGATCTCTCTGTCCTGGAGGTTGTTCTGACCCGTCCCTGATGGGCTGTACTAACCAGATCTCTCTGTCTGTTCTGACCCGTCCCTGATGGGCTGTACTAACCAGATCTCTCTGTCCTGGAGGTTTTTCTGCCCCCCTCCCTGTGTCTACCTGATGGGCTGTGGCTGGAAGAAGAAGACGGAGGAGATGGAGAGAGAGGGCTGTTCGGAGCAAGAGGCCCAGCCCTGTGCCTTTATAGGGATAGGAAACAGTGAACAGGAGATGCAGCAGCTCAACATAGAGGGGAAGGTAGGGGACAGCGCACACACCCTGACTGAAACACTGTGGATCTCCCCCTTTTTCTCTCACCAGAACGAGAGACAGACAGAGACAGGGGTCACACACAGAGACAGATCACAGAGAGAGAGAGAGAGATCACACAGAGAGAGAGAGAGATCACACAGAGAGAGAGCGAGAGATCACAGAGAGAGAGAGAGAGAGCACACAGAGAGAGAGAGAGAGAGAGAGAGACAGACAGATCACACAGAGAGAGAGAGAGAGACAGATCACACAGAGAGAGAGAGAGAGAGAGAGAGAGACAGACAGATCACACAGAGAGAGAGAGAGACAGATCACACAGAGAGAGAGAGAGAGAGAGAGACAGACAGATCACACAGAGAGAGAGAGAGAAAGAGAGAGAGAGACAGATCACACAGAGAGAGAGAGAGACAGATCACACAGAGAGAGAGCGAGACAGATCACACAGAGAGAGAGCGAGAGATCACACAGAGAGAGAGCGAGAGATCACACAGAGAGAGAGCGAGAGATCACACAGAGAGGAGAGCGAGAGATCACAGAGTGATAGAGGGAGGGGGAGAGAGAGAGAGACATACAGAGGTGGAAATACACAGTGAAACACACACCCCTCAGCCTTTCCCCACAGCACTTTTGCATGACTGGAAATCCTATGCATACACACTCAAATTCTCCCCTCTCTCTCCCTCTCTCTCTCCCCCCCAGGACTTCTGCACAGCTAAGACTCTATACATCAGTGACAGTGACAAGCGTAAACACTTCATGCTGTCAGTCAAGATGTTCTATGGTAACAGTACAGACATAGGAGTCTTCCTTAGTAAGAGGATCAAGGTTATCTCTAAACCCTCCAAGAAGAAACAGTCCCTCAAGAATGCTGACCGTGAGTATGGAGAGGAACACACACACACACACACACACACACTTCCACAGCGATGGCTAATACAGAAGAGGACTGGCCCACCCTTCAGAGCCTGGTTCCTCTCTAGGTTTCTGCCTTTCTAGGAAGTTTTTTTTCCTAGCCACCGTGCTTCTACATCTGCATTGCTTTCTGTTTGGGGTTTTAGACTGGGTTTCTGTATAGCACTTTGCGACATCTGCTGATTTAAAAAAAGGGCTTTATAAATACATTTGATTGAATTTGAGTGATATTAGAGTATCTGGTATTTTAAAATGCATTAAAATATTCAACTACTTTTCTTTTCAAATATAATATAGTATTTGGACCCAGGTCTGTCCCATACACACACACAGAGACAGACGCACAGATCCACACACACACAGAGACAGACGCACAGATCCACACACACACACACACACACACACAGGATGCTCTCACCACATTAAGAGCAGATTTACAGTTACATAGAACTAACTTGAGTATGCAAAACACACACACAAGCTTTGATGCACAACGGTACGGTTTTCCTGAGTGGTTTCAGCAGCAAGCTCTTGTTCTACTAGCTGTGTCTTAACTGGGCTGTTTTTATTTGACTGATCCAGTTCAAAGTGTGGTCTCTTGATGAATGTGTATCTAACCTTCTCTCTCTCTCTGTCTCTGTCTCTCTCTCTCTCTGTGTCTCTCTCTGTGTCTCTCTCTGTGTCTCTCTCTGTCTCTCTCTCTGTCTCTCTCTCTCTGTGTCTCTCTCTGTGTCTCTCTCTGTGTCTCTCTCTCTCTGTCTCTCTCTCTCTCTGTGTCTCTCTCTGTCTCTCTCTCTGTCTCTCTCTCTCTGTGTGTCTCTGTCTCTCTCTCTCTCTCTCTCTGTGTGTCTCTGTCTCTCTCTCTGTGTGTCTCTGTCTCTCTCTCTGTGTGTCTGTCTCTCTCTCTGTCTCTGTCTCTCTCTCTGTGTCTCTGTCTCTCTCTCTCTGTCTCTGTCTCTCTCTCTCTCTCTCTCTGTCTCTCTCTCTCTCTGTCTCTCTCTCTCTCTCTCTCTCTCTCTCTCTCTCTCTCTCTCTCTCTCTCTCTCTCTCTCTCTCTCTCTCTCTTCTCTCTCTCTGTCTCTCTCTCTGTCTCTGTCTCTGTCTCTGTCTCTCTCTCTCTAGTTTGTATAGCATCAGGGACCAAGGTTGCGTTGTTTAACCGGTTGCGTTCTCAGACAGTCAGTACACGATATCTACACGTAGAGGGAGGGAACTTCCATGCCAGTTCACAACAGTGGGGAGCCTTCTACATACACCTCTGTAAGTTACCCCTCCTCTCCTCCGTCACCTCTGTAAGTTACCCCTCCTCTCCTCCGTCACCTCTGTAAGTTACCCCTCCTCTCCTCCGTCACCTCTGTAAGTTACCCTCCTCTCCTCCGTCACCTCTGTAAGTTACCCCTCCTCTCCTCCGTCACCTCTGTAAGTTACCCCTCCTCTCCTCCGTCACCTCTGTAAGTTAACCCTCCTCTCCTCCGTCACCTCTGTAAGTTACCCCTCCTCTCCTCCGTCACCTCTGTAAGTTAACCCTCCTCTCCTCCGTCACCTCTGTAAGTTAACCCTCCTCTCCTCCGTCACCTCTGTAAGTTACCCCTCCTCTCCTCCGTCACCTCTGTAAGTTACCCCTCCTCTCCTCCGTCACCTCTGTAAGTTACCCCTCCTCTCCTCCGACACCTCTGTAAGTTAACCCTCCTCTCCTCCGTCACCTCTGTAAGTTACCCCTCCTCTCCTCCGTCACCTCTGTAAGTTACCCCTCCTCTCCTCCGTCACCTCTGTAAGTTAACCCTCCTCTCCTCCTTCACCTCTGTAAGTTAACCCTCCTCTCCTCCGTCACCTCTGTAAGTTAACCCTCCTCTCCTCCGTCACCTCTGTAAGTTAACCCTCCTCTCCTCCGTCACCTCTGTCAGTTAACCCTCCTCTCCTCCGTCACCTCTGTCAGTTAACCCTCCTCTCCTCCATTCTTTCCTCTCTCCATCATCTGTCTTCTGTGATTTCTCTTCTCTTACATTCACCACAGTTCCTCTCTTCTCTTCTCTTAGAGTTGATTTCTAAAGTACAGAATCATAACTGATTCTAGACTGAAGCATCACATGGTAACTGTATGAGTTATTAAATGTATAACCTACAGTAATAACTGATGGAACTCTCTGAAGCATCACATGGTAACTGTATGAGTTATTAAATGTATAACCTACAGTAATAACTGATGGAACTCTCTGAAGCATCACATGGTAACGGTGTGAGTTATTAAATGTAGAACCTACAGTAATAACTGATGGAACTCTCTGAAGCATCACATGGTAACTGTATGAGTTATTAAATGTATAACCTACAGTAATAACTGATGGAACTCTCTGAAGCATCACATGGTAACGGTATGAGTTATTAAATGTAGAACCTACAGTAATAACTGATGGAACTCTCTGAAGCATCACATGGTAACTGTATGAGTTATTAAATGTATAACCTACAGTAATAACTGATGGAACTCTCTGAAGCATCACATGGTAACGGTATGAGTTATTAAATGTATAACCTACAGTAATAACTGATGGAACTCTCTGAAGCATCACATGGTAACTGTATTAGTTCTTAATGTATAACCTACATAATAACTGATGGAACTCTCTGAAGCATCACATGGTAACTGTATGAGTTATTAAATGTATAACCTACAGTAATAACTGATGGAACTCTCTGAAGCATCACATGGTAACGGTATGAGTTATTAAATGTATAACCTACAGTAATAACTGATGGAACTCTCTGAAGCATCACATGGTAACTGTATGAGTTATTAAATGTATAACCTACAGTAATAACTGATGGAACTCTCTGAAGCATCACATGGTAACTGTATGAGTTATTAAATGTATAACCTACAGTAATAACTTCTCTCCTGTAGTGGAGGAGGAGGAGCCAGAAGGGGAGGAGTTTGCAGTGAGGGATGGATACATCCACTATGGTCAGACTGTCAAACTGGTCTGTTCTGTCACTGGCATGGCACTGCCTAGACTGGTACGTACCAACGTGTGTGTGCCTAACCTCTCTCTACCTGTTCCTACATATTCACCTCTCTCTACCTGTTCCTACATATTCACCTCTCTCTACCTGGTCCTACATATTCACCTCTCTCTACCTGTTCCTACATATTCACCTCTCTCTACCTGTTCCTACATATTCACCTCTCTCTACCTGTTCCAACATATTCACATCTCTCTCTACCTGTTCCTACATATTCACCTCTCTCTACCTGTTCCAACATATTCACCTCTCTCTCTACCTGTTCCTACATATTCACCTCTCTCTCTACCTGTTCCTACATATTCACCTCTCTCTACCTGTTCCTACATATTCACCTCTCTCTACCTGTTCCTACATATTCACCTCTCTCTACCTGTTCCTACATATTCACCTCTCTCTCTACCTGTTCCTACATATTCACCTCTCTCTACCGTTTCCTACATATTCACCCTCTCTACCTGTTCCTACATATTCACCTCTCTCTACCTGTTCCTACATATTCACCTCTCTCTACCTGTTCCCTACATATTCCCTCTCCTCTCTACCTGTTTCCTACATATTCACCTCTCTCTCTACCTGTTCCTACATATTCACCTCTCTCTCTACCTGTTCCTACATATTCACCTCTCTCTACCTGTTCCTACATATTCACCTCTCTCTACCTGGTCCTACATATTCACCTCTCTCTACCTGTTCCTACATATTCACCTCTCTCTACCTGTTCCTACATATTCACCTCTCTCTCTACCTGTTCCTACATATTCACCTCTCTCTACCTGTTCCAACATATTCACCTCTCTCTCTACCTGTTCCTACATATTCACCTCTCTCTACCTGTTCCTACATATTCACCTCTCTCTACCTGGTCCTACATATTCACCTCTCTCTACCTGTTCCTACATATTCACCTCTCTCTACCTGTTCCTACATATTCACCTCTCTCTACCTGTTCCTACATATTCACCTCTCTCTACCTGCTCCTACATATTCACCTCTCTCTACCTGGTCCTACATATTCACCTCTCTCTCTACCTGTTCCTACATATTCACCTCTCTCTACCTGTTCCTACATATTCACCTCTCTACCTGTTCCTACATATTCACCTCTCTCTCTACCTGCTCCTACATATTCACCTCTCTCTACCTGTTCCTACATATTCACCTCTCTCTCTACCTGGTCCTACATATTCACCTCTCTCTACCTGGTCCTACATATTCACCTCTCTCTCTACCTGTTCCTACATATTCACCTCTCTCTCTACCTGTTCCTACATATTCACCTCTCTCTACCTGTTCCTACATATTCACCTCTCTCTACCTGTTCTTATATATTCACCTCTCTCTACCTACAGGTCTCTCTCTCTCCTGTACCTGCATATTCTCAGGTGATTTGTATGTTAGATAAGCAGGTTGTGTGTGTCTCTCTCTCTCCTCTCTCAGTAGCACCTCTCTCTCCCCTCTCTCCAGGTGATCCGTAAGGTGGACAAGCAGACAGCGTTGATGGATGCAGACGACCCGGTGTCCCAGCTCCACAAGTGTGCCTTCTACCTGAAAGACACAGAGAGGATGTACCTCTGTCTCTCACAGGAGAGAATCATTCAGTTCCAGGTACACTCACACTCACTCACACACACACACACACACACACACACACACACACACACACACACACACACACACACACACACACACACACACACACACACACACACACACTCCTAGCCCCTTGTAGATCTGAGCCAGGTTTGTGCTTTCTGGTAATAGCTTTTCCCAGCCCTCTGTTCTGCAACTAAAATGAGAGTTTCTTATTGGACCACTAGTTCAACTAGTCCCTCCCTGTTTAATGAGAGTTTCTTATTGGACCACTAGTTCAACTAGTCCCTCCCTGTTTAATGAGAGTTTCATATTGGACCACTAGTTCAACTAGTCCCTCCCTGTTTCTGTCCGTTTTCTTCGGGTTGGTTTCTAGTGAATTCCACCCTGCTCAGGTAGAATCGTTATTTGCATCTCATTTGCATACACCCACACCCTGCCCCAAAAAGACCAGTAAGGAGATGATAAATGACACATTTGCATGTCTCCTCCCCCAGGCCACACTCTCGCCCAAAGAGGGATGTGTTCAGTAAGTTCTGGAACGTTCAATTGAACGGAAGAGGTGCTGTATTGAGCGACCAGTTTGGTTGTGGGGTTGGGGAACGCTGTCAGCGTTGTCACCGCCCTTTTTAAATACGACCACTCATTGCTTCAAGCAACACCTCGCCCACACCCACCGAACGGGAACAAAGTCTGTTCAAGAAGGTTTTGGGGGAAACGTGTCGTTCAGTACAAACTGTTCCGCAACGTAGCAAACGGTCACGCGAACTCAACGCACCTCATTTAAGGATAGGATCAACTACTAATTAGCATATCTCCTCCCCAAGGCCACGCCCTGCCCCAAAGAGAGCAGTAAGGAGATGATAAACGATGGAGCTTCCTGGACCATCATCAGTACAGACAAGGCAGAGTACACCTTCTACCAGGGGATGGGTCCTGTTCCCTGTCCTGTTACACCTGTTCCTGTGGTGGAGAGTCTACAGGTACACACCTAAACACACACACACCTAAACACACACACACACACACCTAACACACACACACCTAAACAACACACCTAAACACACACACACACCTAAACACACACACACACACACACCTAAACACACACACACACACACACACAACCTAAACACACACACACCTAAACACACATACCTAAACACACACACACCTAAACACACACCTAAACACACACCTAAACACACACACACACCTAAACACACACACACCTACACACCTAAACACACACACACACACACCTAAACACACACACACACCTAAACCACACACACACACACACACACACTAATCTTATCTTCCCCTACACACACACACACACACTAACCTTATCTTATAATAATATAATAATATGCCATTTAGCAGACGCTTTTATCCAAAGCTACTTACAGTCGTGCGTGCATAAATTTTTTTGTGTATGGGTGGTCCCGGGGATCGAACCCACTACTTTGGCGTTACAAGCGCCGTGCTCTACCAGCTGAGCTACAGAGGATCTTCCCTTACACACACACACACACACACACACACACACACACACACTAATATTATCTTCCCCTACACACACACACACACTAATCTTATCTTCCCCTACACACACACACACACACACTAACCTTAACTTCCCCTACACACACACACACACTAACCTTAACTTCCCCTACACACACACACACACACACACTAACCTTAACTTCCCCTACACACACACACACACACTAACCTTATCTTCCCCTACACACACACACACACACACACACACACACACTAACCTTATCTTCCCCTACACACACACACTAACCTTATCTTCCCCTACACACACACACACACTAACCTTATCTTCCCCTACACACACACACACTAACCTTATCTTCCCCTACACACACACACACTAACCTTATCTTCCCCTACACACACACACAAACACGCATACAAACACACACTAACCGTCTGTTGTCTCTGCAGTTGAATGGTGGAGGTGATGTGGCCATGCTGGAGTTGACAGGACAGAACTTCGCCCCAGATCTCAGAGTCTGGTTTGGAGATGTAGAGGCTGACACTATGTACAGGTAGGCTGTGTGTGTGTGTGTGTGTGTGTGTGTGTGTGTGTGTGTGTGTGTGTGTGTGTGTGTGTGTGTGTGTGTGTGAGAGATACGCTGCCACGGTAACTGTATAATCGTGTAATTGACGATTATGGATGAAGACCATCATGAAAATAAAAATAACCGTTTTTAATAAGTACTTTTTTTATTTTTGTATGAACAAAATGTTTAAGTGGACAGACTTTACCCAAAAGCAGTCAAGGAGAAGTGAAGGACAAACCACAGCCACAACTGATATCAGGAGAGACCCAGAGGAGGCTAAACTAGCCCGTTTTAGAAGGTTGTTGTGGAACAAACAGACTGACTGAAAATGGCTGACGTGCTGTTGAGTCTGTTTCCGTGGCAACGTGGACTCTACAACGTGGTGAATCTGTCTTTTGTCTGACCCCCCCCCCTCTCTGTCCCAGGTGTGGCGAGAGCGTGCTCTGCGTGGTGCCTGACATATCTGCCTTCAGAGAGGGGTGGCGCTGGGTCCGTCAGCCCGTCCAGGTCCCCGTCACGTTGGTCCGCAACGACGGAGTCATCTACTCCACGGCCCTGACCTTCACCTATACCCCAGAACCAGGCCCTCGCCCTCACTGCAGCGCTGCCGGCGCCATCCTCCAGACCCACAGTCACAGTGTCTCCTCCTCCTCTTCCTCACCTTCCTCTTCCTCAGGGAGTCTGGGGACGGGAGGGTTAGGGGAAGGACAGGCTGGGTATGGGATTGGCCAAGGGGCAGGGTCAACCAATAGCGTGGGGTCGTTGTCCGGTTCATCAGTGATGTCAGTTTCGTCATAGCATAGGGGAGGTGTGGTGGGGGGGGAGTGTGTGTGTGTGTGTGAGGCTTATGGACCTGCGTTTGAACCACACACGCTCTCTCGCTCAAGGACTCTTTGGAAAGAGAGCGATTGAGTTGAGGAGGGGAAGAGAAGGAGGGGGAAAAAGAGAGGAGGTTCTGATAAAAGACAAAGACATGGAAGGAGGGGGATCCTTTCTCTCTGGCCCCCCCGTGTGGTCGTTTGTGGACATGACACTGCAGCCTGGTTCATCCAGTTTGGGAGAGGTATCACCTCAAGGGGTGATACAATAACTAAGTGCCCTTTTTTATACATTTGTTGGAGAACAGCTTTTTCTTTTGTTTTTTTCCCCCACACGTTATTTTCTACAAAGTTTTTATTTGTTACCAGAACAAAGGGCTCGGTAATGATTGAGGTATCACTCGTGCGCATGGGAAGTTTTGCAGAGAAACTTTTATTATTAAAGTTTGCGGGAAAACTTTTTATTATAGTAACATAGTTTTTACGGACCAAGGAATATTATTATTATATTATTATTGTATTCTTTATGATATTTTATAAGCTTTAGCCGAGGTACATTTTCAAATGTTTTGTATTATAACGTTTTAGTAAGGACAGTTTTTGTTACCAAATAGTTTGTTTGTTTTTTTCCCATTTGAGTGTGTTAACTCTGAGGAGATTGGGTAACGTGATGCAGACTGCGTCTCAATCGTCTAAACTGGATTCCTCCCTTTCCTTTAAAACGTATTATTGTGAAGCGGCCTCGGGGTGCTTTTGCAAGTCTTTTAAAGTCTGGAAAAGGTCAGGGTTGTAGTCATCTGAAGAGGGCAAACACTAAGAGTTGGAACAAGTGAAAGCAAACTCGCACTAGGCTATCTCTATCTACCCCATCTCTTTCACCTTCTCTGTCCTGTCAGATCAGTCCAGATGAAGGAGAGGAAACGAGACTAGGGGTAAAAGGAGGAAGGGAAGCCATTTTAGACTGTTGAGACGCACCCCGTAATCTCGGCCACTTTCTATAGCAACTTCAAATCTTCATTGCCAATCGCCTTAATCGGTCAGTCTCTCACCAGACCTTTTAGGGGGGGGGGAAATAATACTTTTTTTTGTATGTTGCGTGTATTATGTTATTGTCGTTTTCTAAAAGAGTGTTTGGTAGACACTCAACAAGCCAAGGCCTGGGAATGTTGAATCATGTCGTTGGCAGCGTCTCAAATGACCCCCGATTTCCCAAATAGTGCACTACTTTAGACCAGGGCCCTCCTATGTAAAGCACTGCACTATATAGGGATTGGAGTGGCATTTTGGGACGCGGACGTTGTGTTTTTACACTATCGTTCAGTCTCAATCCCAAATCGGCTCCTAGCACCTTGTCACTAGTAGACTTTTGTTTGATTCTGAGAGGATTAACAATATGGTCATCACCCCTCTTGCCTTCTAGGCTTAGGTTAATTTATGCCATTTTGCTTACTTAGTGCATACTATCTAGGGGGCCATTTGCTTACCTAGTGCACACTATCTAAGGGGCTAGGGATTGGTTTGGGACTGGGCAGAAGTCTTTTTTTTATTTTTTTAAAGAAGAGCTTTAAAATGCCACCACTGCCTTTTAGCCTGCAGCACTTCCAACCAGCTCCCCCTCTTATCTATGTAATGAAGCCGTAGCATCAAACAGAAATCACTTGCCGTTGCTAAGCTGATAGCCCACTACACTGTAAAATTCATTAGCCAAGGCTCCATTGGAGTTAAATTGGCTAAGCTAATGGCTAATGCTACAATGTAATTATATATTAGTGAAGCTAAGCTCAAGCTAATGCTACTAATGTAGTTCTATTAGTGAAGCTAAGCTAACTCTACGCTACAATGTAATTCTAGCATTGAAGCTAAGCTAATGCAAAAATATAATTAACGTCACTTTGGCTATAGCTAAACTTAATTGAAATCACGTTGCCTTTAAAAACCACTACCTAGCAGAGACTGTTCTCTCTAGCCACTGTCTTTCTTCTCACAAAGTAGCCTTTTGTAGCTAAAGCATTACACACGTCACGTATTAGGTCCGATAGCTAGCCTACTAGTTGGTGTTTTATATTCTGTTCATCATGAGGGAATCATTTTTGGATTTTCAGCAATTACAGTACACAACTACAATGTTTCGCACTGTAGAAAACTTTTTTTTATTGAAATGATCGCCAAAATGTGTCCAACTTCTTGGGGGTCTGGTCTGTGGACCTGGACCTGTTGCTACCTGTCATTGGTGCTGTACTACATTGAAAGGGATGGTTGCTCTGTTACTATGGGAACAGGTTATTATAACACATACTGTAAAGCAACTGGGTCTAACTGATTTATTTTGTTTGTGTTGTAACAATGTTTTTTTTTTTGTTTTTTTTTAAACCGTTATTCGTCTTGGATCAATTCTCGTAGTGCTATTGTTTCTGGTATTATTCATTGATAAAAACCCAGTGGAAGTTATTAGTTGGCCACCGGTTGTCAAGTACAGGTCACCAGTTTTTGGCTTTCTTGGAAGAAATTCTCTTTGGTCTGCTTTAATTGTGGTGCCTTGTACCTTCACTGAGCAAGTAAGAGGAACAATATGACTGTTCTCAAATCTGTGGTCCCCACTCAAACCCTAACCAGTATAAGCTACACAACTACAAACTGGCCTGGGATCATTTCTTACATGATGATCTGTCCTCCTTCATATTGGTGTCTCTTGGGTCGTATTCACTAGGAAACTAAACGGAATAATAATATAATAATAATAATATGCCATTTAGCAGACGCTTTTATCCAAAGCGACTTACAGTCATGCGTGCATAAATTTTTTTTTTGTGTATGGGTGGTCCCGGGGATCGAACCCACTACCTTGGCGTTACAAGCGCCGTGCTCTACCAGCTGAGCTACAGAGGACCGGGCAGGCAACTACCTGAACTTGTCTAATAAGAAACGCTTGTTTTAGTTCTCCGTTGCAAAACGTTCAGCGACGGTGTGCAGAACGTTTACAGCTAAACCACTCATATTGCCTTAGCTAAGCCCGTGAGCCATCTCTGGTTCTGGTGGGCCATCGTGTTGATGCAGGCTTTTGTTCCAGCTCAAACGCACCTGATTTTTAATCTAGCCTACTCATGGTCAACAAATCAATTCAAGACCAGGATTAGTTTATTAATTTGTGTTAGAGCTGGGTCGGGACAAAAACCTGCACACGGCCGAATCTATTGTATAGATTAACCTTACCCAGAAATGGCACCACCCTGTGGTTCTCCGGGTCGGAGACACAGATCTGATGCCTAATTCACACTAAATGGAGACGTGACCAGTCCAGTACAGCTCGGTTTGGCCCTATAGTGTGAATCAAGTGTTTGCTACTCCTGAGAACTGAAACGATAACCATACTCTGTAACATGCCAAATGAATCAACTTTTCCTGTTGGAACTTTTAGTGGCTGCATCTGAAATGCCACCCTATTCCCTATATAGGTCACTACCTACAGGCCCTGGTCTATTCCCTATATAGGTCACTACCTACAGGCCCTGGTCAAAGGTAGCACTATCTAGGGAATAGGGTCCCAGTTCAGACACAGCCAGTGTTTTACATGCTTTTGGACCTCGACGACCGGCAGCTTTTTACACCACATAAAAGGTACAACAAAATAAAGAAAATACATTGAGGTTTTTTTCTCTGAATTAAAGATATTTGTATCTCTCTCTCTTTAGCTCTCTTGGTTGAGAGCTTCACTCTCTAAAAGGCAGGTCTGACAGTGTTGGCAAAAGAAAAAGGTCAAGAAATAAAATGTAAAGTTTGCTTGTCTCTATCAGTTTCTTTCCTGTAGTAGGTTTTATTCGTCATGTTTATTTGATCCACCCAGCTATGTTGACACTAGGGTTGGGCACCATTTACATTACATTTTTAGTCATTTAGCAGACGCTCTTATCCAGAGCGACTTACAGGAGCAATTAGGGTTAAGTGCGTTGCTCAAGGGCACATCGACAGATGTTTCACCTAGTCGGCTCGGGGATTAGAACCAGCAACCTTTCGGTTACTGGCACAACGCTCTTAACCACTAAGCTACCTGCCGCACCACAGAGTTAAATTACATTTTATAAATTTTGTATTTTGGTCCATTAATATTAGTATCTTCTTTAAAAGAATGTGGAAGTCGATACATTTATATTTTTGTTAGTTTATCATACTATCAACATTTTCATGAATTGTAACCACGTTTAAATATACATGCATCCATAATTTCAATGCCCATTGAAACACATAATTCAAAGCAAATTTCATACAGAATATTAACTGAACTATGTAGTAACTTACTTTGAAGAGATAGTGATTGGGTCTGAGTTAGGTGTTTTGGCGTTTGGTAGTCTAAATTCAGTGTACTTGCCTTCAACTGACATTTCCCGAAAGTCGGACTTCCCACAATTTTCTCAGCTTCAGAAGCATCTACATTCACGTAATGTTGTGGTTATCCTTACACAGGAGGGACACCACGACTTTCAAAATCCTAAAATCACTGAGCCTCTCACATTAAACTACCGTCTTTCATGTAATTGTTGTTGTGTTGCCAACGTAGTGGTGCGCACACTTAACAACGCGGAACAAACGGTGGTCACACTACAAGATTCTTTACTTGGTTGTGAGGAATGTCGATACCACGCTGTCTCGCGAAAACAATGTGTGATTAATGTGATGTGATTAGATTTAACGTAGCTACGAGCCGTGGCTCAAAGCAGCCTCAAACGTTCAGTCACACATTCACGCTTCCCATACAGAGTTCCAGCTCTGAAGTTCTAGCAAACATTTTGAATTGAATGACATTGCTTGTGAACTTCAGAGCTGTAACGATTTAACGCGTTGGTTAAAGACAAGTGCAAACTAAACGTATACTAATTAGTAATCGGACGTCTGGGGCTGCTCAAAGACGAGATCGGTAGCCCTCGGATTGCATCTCTGACCCGCTCACATTTAACGAGCGTCGGTGACGGCCGCCCACCCCGAGTA